TAACATTATTTAGGCTAATTTCAAATGCATAAGTGGAGCACAATACTTTAAAATGATTGCATACGAAATTTTAGATTCTTCAATTTCACCGATGTTTTTTTTAATTCCCTCATCTATTGTAATATTATAAAGAGGAATTTTTTTTTGTTTGTTTGTATCGAATAGGCTTCGATACTACTGAATCGATTTAGATGAACTTTTGTAAGAAGATAGTTGGAGACCCTGGGAAGGGCATAGGATAGGGATGAAAGTTTGTATGGAGAAGCAACTTAGGGACGAACCCTTTAGTTAGTTAGATATTATTCTTATTATAAGGAGATAATTAATGTATCTAATATTGATAAAAAAAATAATAATCTTATAATGGTAAATGAACAATTCTTGTATAAGCATATTTGTATGTATACATTATTATATAAATTTAATGCGTATATCTCGGAAAATATCTCGTTTTCTGAAAAACACAATTTTTATATTTTTTCCTTAAAACGCTAAGCGAAGCTCGATCTTCCAGGTACTAATTTATTTTTACAAGAGCAACTGTTGAGTTTCTCATTGGCTTCCTTCAATAGAACGACTTTGCCTTGACGATTCGAAATCATTTCGTCATTCAAATAAATTCTATGTGAATAAACTTTGTTTTTTTATGTGATAATTTTTATTTAAGATTATAATAATAAATTTTTAAATAAAAAAATGCTAATGATAATATTGAAACTTATATAAATCCGTTATTATTATTATAAATGTGAAAGTTTGTGAGTATGTATGGATGTTTGTTACTCTTTCACGCCTGAACGGAGCACAGAGATTATAGACTGGAATAACACACAGGCTACTTTTTATCCCGGAAAAATGTACGGTTCCCGTGGGATATGTTTGTTTTTGTCTTCCTAGAGGAGAAACAGAGCCGCTAGGTTACTACCTATATAAATAAATACATATTATACTTTTGCTTGAATATAAAGTTTGCTTAATCTAATTTTGCTTACCACCATCTATTTTTAAAGCTTTTAACTAATAAATCATAATTACTGTTATGAATTTAATCAACCGTCTTTCGAAAATTGGGGATTTTATTGCAATTCTTCTATAGTATAAACTTTGCTTTCCTCTATCAGTTTGTTGGCACTCCTCTATAGGTCGTATTTTACAACCGATTTGGACAAAACTTGGTATACAGGTTTTACGACTTTATAAAAATTTTTCGTCATCGGGGATTTTGATTGGAGGGTACCTACCTCCTCCAAAAAGAGGCAAAACGGGGGCTACTGGATATCTCCGCCTTATGAGATCCGAATTCGATGTTTTTTTTTTATTTGAAACTTTAAGTTGGTCTCATAAAAATTAAGTGAAGATCTGATGAGGAACTTCGGCGTGAGCAGAAAACTTCCTCAAAATGCAGTTTGTACTCGCACGGTGTACTGTTCGCAGTACTTCAAGTAATATTATAGCAAGAACTTATTAATGTGGTTGTAAACTAAATTAAAAAATATAGGTCGGGTGAATCCATAGATAGCGTAACTGGAATGGAGTAAACCAATAACGATAATTAGCTATGCACTAATGATTCTCTTTATACATAAAAATGTTATTCTTTTTTATAAATCAAAAGTGTATCTACTGGAAAAACCTAATTGAGGGTTTTTGTGAGTTACAAGTAAACTTATCTGTTATTCGATGATAAGATGATATACGTAATTGTCACTTGGATTTACTACCATACGAGGAAATTATCAGTAAAATTAATTAAATTTTGATTTTAATATTTATAGATATTAATATTTCTTTTTAATTAAAAAGATACATCGAATCGAAAAACACTTTAAAACTAATTATTTAATTTGTAGGGAAAGACTTTTTCTTGATATTCCAAAGGGAACACCAAAAAAAAACTGTTCACTTTTCACTAAAACATCTGGCGAAGATATCGGATAATAGATGTAGCGTTCAGCCCTTTTTAACGTCCCACTGCTGGGTACGGGTTTCCCTTCAATACGATGGGGATCAGGCCATAGTCCACCACGCTGGCCAAGTGCGGGTTGGCGGACTTCACATGTCTTTCGAAAACTTGTTAGGTTTTCTCAGACATGCAGGTTTCCTCACGATGTTTTCCTTCACCGTAAGGCATTAGTGGTAATCATGTTGGAAATGATTCGCACATGAAAATATCATAGGTGCAAGACCCGAGATTTGAACTCGCTTCTCTCGGTTTCCCAAGAGACGGCCATAATAAAATAAAAATAGATGTAGATACCAAAAATATACATACAAATTAAACATATCTTTTTATGTACACGATCAAAAATTGCTTACTAAGACCCACAAAATTATGTCTATGCAAATTATTACTATTATATATATATATTATAGGCAGTTTTAGAAAAAAACAAGCTATTGACCAACTGTAATGTATGAAACTCGTTAAAATGAATCAAATGAGCCCAAACTCGAAAGGTTTACTAAAAACTATTGAAGAGTTCTACCAATTGACTTCCTCATCAGATTAGCTCGAGGGTATCAAATTATTGTATTTTCATTGTAATTAATTAGAAATACGTCGACAGTTATTAATATGAAAAAGTATCTCATAGAAACGTTAGAAGAGCAGCAGGAGAACTGCTAGTTGTATGGTAATAATTCAAAAGCTAACTACACTAGTATTCAAGAGTTAACAGGTAACAACGTATAGGCACGGATGAAAGAATATGATTTCAAAGTCGAGAATGGGCGCTTTAGCATCAATTCACGCGTCACAAATTTACAAAGGGCCCTCTGGTATAGATTTAGTCACGCTAAGATTCTGGGTAGCTGTGGATTCTATTTGAAAAGTTTTCGCTTCAGTTTATTTTTCAAATGTCTGTATTAAAAGAAGTGGGTAAAAAATTTGTTTTTTTTTGAATTGAATACCTTTATACAGTATGCTATTTATAAAACAGATGTTAATTTTTTTTTCTTAATTCTTGTTTAATTTTTTCTTTATCGACCATTCATGATGATACTTTTTATCGAAAGAAAAATATATTCAGTATACACAGATAATTCCACCCCAAAACGTCTACAATGTTCCCGCGTACTTATTTTCTAACCCGCATTCCTTTTACACAAGGGTATGACTAATTACATATTAACAAAATGGTTATCCATATTACCATTGTAACACAGTCTGTCACTTACTTCTACCGTAGAGTTAGTGGGTTCGATTTTCGGTTGGATTGGTAATTGATACAAGCTTATTGAAAATAGTTATTCTTCATACCTAGCTGAAATTATGTTCTCTCTACATAGGTAGAATTCAAAGAAAATTGAACCTTTTCCTCGAGTGTTATATGCGGCAAGATAAATGACTTATGAATACTATTATCTTTTGATAATATAAGCTTTTCAATAATAAAACACGGTATAAGCAAAAAAAAACTTTTCTACCTTTTGGTTTCTTTTTCAAATTTGTTTTTACTTACGTTAAAGTTTAGTTAATAGATAAATATATACTTCAATTAAATTGAAAAATCAGCTCTAATTGAATTTTAGATATAGAATATAATGTTTTAATTGATTCCAATTTACATATTATCTTTATCTTTTCATTATACAAAATAAGTTTTTGAGTTGATGTTTGTATGAGAGTTGTGAGTTTGGTTGGGAATTTACAATCAAGTGTTAGCACTCAGGCCCTAAATCGGATTTAAATTTTCAAACTCAAACTCAAGTTACTCGGTGTTTACGTAAATAACTGTTTCTGGCTTTAAGGTCAGTTTTTGTATTACTGACTTTTATTATTGACTGGTTAAAGTAAATTGGCGAAAATGTAATTTATTTTTCTAATATAGATCTTTCTAACCTTGCATTAAGGTTCAAAATTAAAAATCAAAACGCTTATTCTCACTATGATGTGAATTGAGCAATAAACGTTTGAACGTTAACATGACAGAACACAACGCTTTAAAATTAAACTTTTACCAATAGGCAGAAGATGACATTACGGAATTTTTATACTTTAAATATTATTTTAATTTAAATATTATCATTTCCATTCTTGTTTGAAAATAATATACGTGTCAAAGCTAATTAGAAAAAGATTGTAATTAAATATAACTTTTTTTTATCTTTTACATACTTAAGCTTTATAAGCTTGATAACAAAACGGGATATTTAAAAAAATGTAATTCTCAATCTTTTATTTTGTGTTTTTTTGGTTAAATTTACGTAGCAACGTCAACATAGTCTCTCAAATTTATGTTAAAATATTGTCCGGGTCCATACAAGCATTTGTCCGAAAAATTATCAAATCTAAAACCTTCGGAGAGTTAAGTCTTATTACTAATCAGACTTGAACCGTTCTCGGTTCTTTCTAGTCTTGCAAAAAATTTATAAAATATAGATCGAATATTTCAATTGGGAAAAGAAAGAAAAGATGTCTAAAATATAAAATTGTAAAGTAGAAAACTTTTATGTAAAGTAAAACAATTAATCAATGTTGCCAACTTACTGCTTTACAACACGCGACTATTTAGTTTTCATTTGTGGCAACACTGATTAATTATAATATTTAGTTTATTACATTCACCATGGAAAACAGTCGTTAGACAAAGTCGACTCGTTTTAAAAAGCCCTTATATAATTTAAACGCTTGCTATTACGCTCGGTGGATAGATAGGAATTATGAGTACTCAACTAATTGCATTTTATTTCATATAAAATGAATAACATCTATTATTTAAATTTAAAATATATATATAAAATTAAAATAATATAAATTATAAGAATGTCTTTTTTGTATAAAAAAGTGAATATTGTTTTGATTTTTGTTCACTTTAAGGGCACTTAAGCTTATCTTAAGACTATTTAAGTAAAAAAAAATTGTCATCAAGAACAAAATATATGTATTATCACAGAAAAAAAAAACGAGTGGTTAACTAGAAAAAGGCACTCAATTTTAATTGACCCATATAATGAATCTAGGTAGCTAGACGGTATTACGTCGTACCCCAAGTCCCAACATGGATGACATAAACAAGATCCCTTCTCCCCATTTAGACAAGTTGAATGTGCTTCCATCGCTGCACGTGCAACACTCAAGGTCTACCCTTTACCTCTTATACTTGCAATTAAAACGAAAAACCGAGATCACATGTAAACAACGCGAAGACAAAAAGAGACAGCGTATGTACACAAGCACTTTTTATTTCCACTTAAGGGAGGTCGTCGGCCAATCAACGTAGTGTACCGCGCTCATTCCCATTGGCCGTTTTGAATAGAGATTTTTTTCAAACAAAAGCGGAGGGTAGGTAATAGCGAGTTTTGTTTTCTTCGAGTGGCATTTCGCATTGGAGTGGCGGCATCGTTCGTAGCGGACGTCCCGAGACTAATTACCTTAGCTTACATGCATTGTTAGAAGGGTGCTTTAACTAAGCTCACTTCATTTGAATTGTCAGTTGTTTAACATTGTTATTTATTGTACGGAACTCGTTCTTCAGGAGTTGCAGGGCAAGCAAATTAGCTGTTTACTCTAGCAATCCGACAATGTTTGCTGAGCTCAGGCTGTTTACACTCGGTTATCGAGATACATTCCCTAGTGGTTCTCATTATTTATGCAAAGTTGTTATTTACATATATATTGCTATATGATTGTTGGTTGCGCCTTTTAAAATATGTTCATTGCTTTTAGAATATTTTACGTTAAAATTGTATTTTATTATTTTTTTACTTATTTACAAAATTATTCTTCTTTTGCAGGAATTTGGCGACGCCAGTAAGATCCGTTCAAACGTCTAACACGTCTTTGGAAACGTTTACAACACTCCATAAAGAAAGCTGTCACAGGCTGGAGTACCTCGTTGAGCGACAGAAACAGTTATGCATGTTATCTGATAAAATGGTTCAGGTAAGACTGAAGTTATTAAGAGGTAAATCTGCCCCCTTCAAAACGTCGACTTTCTACAATGGATATAGATAATAGAAAACTGAAAAATATAATCATTATGGAAATGAGATTTTCTAATAATGTGACGTCATAATGCTTATATTAATTATAGTGCCCATATATTTTTATGTTTTCTATAGGCCATAGGGATTGTAGAAAGTCATTTAGTCTAATTATCTATATTCTATTATTATTTTTATTTATTTAATTATATTATTATAATGTTACGAGATAATATGAGTTAATGCATTTTTTTCGTAAACAGCCTGTATAGTGTAATTTTTTTTTCATAAATTATAATTGTAACTACTTATAATTTCAATGAAATTACATTTAAAATGATAAAAATCAAAAAGATAATGCAGAAAAACTAGATAAATATCAATTATTAGTAACAATTTGATAACATAAGAGTTATTAAATAATAGTTTGTCTCAATCTAATCAAGATCGAGAAAGAAATGATTTCTGGAAAACATAAATGGAAGCTTATTAATTTATAATTTACCTGACGTTATTCATGAAACCTTATGTTTATTAGTGTTGAGATGCCGATAGAAATCTTCAAAGTTATTTAATTTAAAGTTATACTCTGTTCGATTTCGCATTACCACAATTAAGCGATTGGTCGATGAGTTTAGATATACACACGTAACATCTTAATACCTTACTTGCTTACTTTGTTAGGAGGATAAAATATTTATTTTATTATACTTATTGACAAATAAGAATATTGTGAATGACAGTAGAAATTAAATCTTAGTTTTATAGGAGCTTAAAAGCTCGAAGTACATTTAATGACGATTCAGTAATTAAGTTGCCTTGTATAGCTCGCTCTTGCTTGTTTCAATAATTGACTTGAAGCCAAATGTGGTGGGTCCGTTTGTACACATATGTAGCTAAAGTTGGATTAAAATTGACTTTGTAAGACTCGTCGATCGACAAAAATAACGACGCAACACGTACGATTTTATCGATTTCGTTAAAAATAGTAGTACATTAAGAAAATAATCATGAAAATTGAGCAACTTGACTGAATGCAAATATATCTTGTAATATACGAAAAAAAAAACTCGACTTGAGTACTTTCTTCATTTTTGGAAAAGGGCATGCTACGAGTACGATAGAGGGAAGTGTTCATTTAATAATGTGTACATATTATTAATCTTATTATATATCTTAATTATTAAACTTAAGTATGTAAAAAGCGCCTTAATAGATATTAGCATAAAATTTGTCTAAGGTTGAGAATAATAATAAGAATAAGATCACGCACAAGTTGGTTTCTATAGATTACGAAATTTTAAGGATATTCAAAGAGAATTTTCATTATATTGACCTCATAACCGATTTTGATCTCATTAAAAACCAAGGGTGTGCCCAAACACAAGTGCGCGCTTTATTCCTTTAACTTTCATATGCTGGTGCGACGACAATTCGACACGATCGGTGAGAGGTCAAACATAGGGCCGTCAGATTTACGGGTTTTCCATGGTACATAGGTGTAGGATGTGGGTACATGTTGTCAACTTGCCAATTCTAAGATGCCACTATTTCATGACAAACTCAGGTATTGTTTTAGTATAGCCCGAGACTCGAACCCATAACCTTAGGATCTGCAGTCGATCATAGTCACTAAACCAAAGATGAGGCAGGTTTTCGTCATACTATTTCTATCAAGTAAGAATAGAGTAATTTCAGAGGGAAAAAGGAATAAATTTTCCGTGCAATATGTTTAATTTTTTTTAAATATGTTTAAAATAAATATATTAGTGTTCCTCATCATCAATCCTTTCCAAGATTTTTTTTGATAGGTAGATATATATGGTACACTTAATAAATTTCTTTTTTTAAATTTTCTGTAATTACTCCAAAAATTAATTAAAATTCATTTATTTAAGTTTGATACTAGAGATCAAACTATACTCTCGTCCATCCTAAAATTTTTACACCCAGTAGACAAATAGGGGTGTGGTGACATCCTATAAGGGTTAACGGGATTCAGTTCAAGGCATCAAATTTGGAACTTAAAAAAAATTTAAAATTATATTCACTAAAATACATATATATATATACATTCTCGTCTACGGTTTCAATTATCCTTGTACCAAAGGTTGTCTGTAAGAGATTGCTTATAGCAATAAGACCGCCTTTGCATACCTTTTTTATTTTTCTTTTCACCTCCTGTACTCTTCTTTTGTGTGTGCAATAAAGTATTTATCTATGATATCATCATCATTATGTATGATGTCTAAAAATAGAATTACATATTTAAAAATATAAAAAACTAATAATTATATTTCTTCACTATTCCAGGTGCTACAAACAGGTGCTCAACAAGCGGTGGAGGAATGTCAATATCAGTTCCGCAACAGCCGTTGGAACTGCAGCACTGTAGAGAACAGCACTGACATCTTTGGAGGTGTACTTAAATTTAGTAAGTAACTTGTTTACATACGATTTAATCGATATATCAAGTAGAAATATTTTTTATTATTTAATGATTATTATTAGAATTATAATAAAAGTATGGTAAAATGAAATTATTCATGCAGTGGTTTTTTTGTGATGCGGTAACAAACAAACAGATAGACAGACAGACAAAAATTCTAAAAACTATAGATTCGGCCTCTGTATTGATAATAATGTTTATTTCAATTAGATTTTCCAATAAATATTTAATGTACAGATTCGACTTAGTTATAATTTGATTATAACTAAATTTTTAAAAAAGAGGAAATGTAAACTTATGTCATTTTATAAGTAAGTACTGTACGGTGTACCATACATGTGCAGAAAAGTAAAATGTGTAGATAATAAAGATATAAAACAAGGTTTAACCAATTAAATGAACGTTTCGATAACATATACGTCTATATCACTGATATAGAAATTACAATACGTAAAAGATAATTAATAGATTTAAAAAAAAAAACTAAACACACATCTATATTTTACTAGCAGACATGTAGACTGGTTAGAATATATAAAAAGAAACATTTATCTCCCCAACAGCGCCACCTACAGGGTTCAACTATAACTAAAAACTATCCAGGTCACCTCTGTAAGTACTTACATACAAAAAAAACATCAAAATTGGTCAAGCAATTTAAGAGAAGAATTACGAACAAACACACACTAAAATTTCTATACATATAAAGATTAGCATTAGCATGTAATACGAAATGTTCAACGATGCATAATTTAAGCACCAAAGCAAAATAAATTGGCACATACACGGCATCGTAAAACTTATTTCCGTTTGGATTTAGAGTCGAGCAGTAAATACTTAAATAATTATTGGTTCCATACAAATCCTCATCGGTAACTCTTCAAAGGACGTGTTAAGTGAATGCTACACGCTCTTTGATGTTGTATACCTTTTCAACGGCATCGTAAGCCCTGTTTATGTTTCAATAAAGGAACTGATTTCGGAGAAAATAAAGTCTAAATCTGCCATTCTATTGTTAACGATATTATTGTAAATGGCAGTAAATATTATTAATTTTGAATGAAAGTATTGAAGTCATATTGTTATTAGGATTACAATATATTACGAGTATAGCCGTTTAGAGATTAATTTTCGATTTTATTAATTATTTATATGAATAAAAAATTTAACAACTGAACTGAGGCTTTTTTCCTCAAATGCTGGTAGTTTTTGATAGACAAGACACTTAGAATAAAGAATTTTTAATTAATGATATTGGTACTTGGGTATATGTCGAGAACTATTTACTCTAAATCCTGGAAATACAAATAAAACGATTGATATAAAAACTTACATGTTAAGAAATCATTGCAAAATTCCACACACAAATAACAAATAATGAAAGGAAGTAAAAATCTATAAATAAAAATGTATTGAAAGAAAAGACTTCTACACTATATTTTTTTAGATTTCATTTATTCAAAAGTCTAGAATGTAAACAACTGCTAAGCATGATTGACATTTATTTATAAATTTATTATATTAAAATCGTGCTGAACATTAACAAACTGACAAGTTTATTTAAGTTAGCAAAAATCAGCATGTAATTTTCGGAAGTGTTTTTTTAAGACATGATGTGGGTTGCTAGCAAATATCTAGCGCGTAAGTGATATTTGATTAACAAAACATCACGTCTACTTCTGAATGATGATTGATGGTGCCATCATTATTAGTCCATACTTAATATTATAATTGTGAAAGTGTGTTCGTTTGTTCTTCTTTCACGTCGAAACGGAGTGACGGATTGGTGTGATTTTTTGTGTGCAGATATCTATGTCACTCTCCAGCCCTCTGACTAGAGCCCTCTGACTAGAACCCTCTGACTAGAGCCCTCTGACTAGAGGGCTGGAGAGTGACATAGGCTACTTTTTAACGCGGGAGATTATCTTATTCTCACGGGAAAACACGTTAAAAGACTTGTACAATCCAAAAAAAATATTTATGATCAGTATTACTTGAAACTTGGTATTAATGCTCTTCATCATAATTACATAAATACGTGTTTCAGCATTTTTCGAAATTCATACCATAAGGGCGTAAAATAGGGGGTGAAAGTTTGTATGTAACCTACCTTTTCAGAGTTTCGTGTAGTTTTAGCGCGAGCGAAGCCGCGCGTTCTGCTAGTATTTTTTAAAGTGACAATGTTTTTATCTATTGAAATAACAATCTGTTCGTTGGCAAGCGCATCACTTAAGAGTGGTTGGACTGATCTAGCTAATAGTTTTTTTTATATTCCTAATGGTTCAATTAAAGGTTTTAAGGAAGAAAAATGGAAAAAATTGCCCAAAAATTTGAACATTGGAAAAAAATTAAATTTGTTTAGTTTTCAATTTTCTTTTGTTTTTTTTTAAGTTTAAAAAAATAAGATATATTGACATTTTGACAGAACAACGTCTGTTAGAGCAGCTTGTAACAATTAATGGGGTTTGTACTTAATACAAATAATTTGTGTTTAGAAACCTATATAGCGCCGAACTTTTATTTGGACTTAATGAAAAGTTTGCATATAAATTGTAAGAAAGTTACATCAAACTCTATAAAAGAAAAGCCTAATCTACTAGCTGTATGAATCCTAAAATAAATTTAAAACAAGAAGTAATTAACGTCACTAAAACAAACTGTTTATTTTGAAGGCGCCTTATGAACTATGTTTCATGTCAGACATATTGGATCGTCCACTTCAAGATTGTTTTCAAGGAATTTCTACTCTTCATGTAACTTGTTTATTTTTAAATGTCGATTACTGGGATCACGTGTGTAGTTGTTGATGGAGCCGCTCAGTTTGTTTAACATTTATCTAACCAGTTTCATTTGATCTGTACTACACCCAGTGAATGTAGATATTTTGTCTACTTGAATATCGATTTTCGGTTATGCACAGGTCGAGATATTTGGTTACACTAAATTCAGTCGGTCAGTGAACTTATGTATTTAATAAAAACTTATAGAATATTATAAATTTTGACATACTGATATCAAAAATTAATGTAACCTTCACCAAATTATAAAAGAAAATATTTTTTTTCTAGATTCTAATTAAACCGTACACCATTCAACCAACCAACTCTAACTCGGATCGCCTTCGCAAAAACATAATTTAGTTAGATCCCACCAAAACTTCTTAGCCATGATCGGGTCCTAAACAAAAAACGTCGTAAAGAACTACAAGTAGTATCAATTTATTTCAGAATCCCGTGAATCTGCATTCGTGCATGCCCTCTCAGCGGCGGCATTGGCGCATGCAGTAGCCCGTGCGTGTAGTCGCGGTGAATTAAACGAGTGCTCTTGTGATGCCCGCGTGAGAAAACGCACTCCCAGACATTGGCAGTGGGGTGGATGTTCTGAGGTACGATTGTAATCTAAATATATATATTCGATGCATCTATACTTTATATTATTATTAATAAAGAATAAATGTTGAGAATTTTCCTTGCTTGTTGATTTTTTTTTGTTGACGATAATTTTTTTAATGGATAGCTACGTTGTCATAAAGTCCTATAAGTTGTATTATTGTTATATGTTATGTATTTTAGTCGAGTTGTTACGGTTTTTAGCTGGCAAATCGGAACAATACGCTTGTTTTGTTGTCTAAATAGTAAAAACAATGTATGGCAAATATGTAATAGTAACATTAATAGTCTTACAAAAAAGCCTGTGATACTAATATATCTAATTTTTTATACTGTATTTGTTTTAATGTTAAGATAAGTATTTTTAGAGAAAGTCATTTATAGCGGATTATATACTAAAATAGCTTTGTAATTTAGTTAAATAGTTTACGAGATTGTGAAAAATGGCGCCTGGCTTAAACGAAATACCTAAGGGTGGGGTTAGTGTTGCTAGTAAGTTAAACATGGTTTTCATTAGTTTTTAATGGACTATCAAAAATGTATAGTAATTTTCATAAAGGGAAATTTACCCGTGTGTTGCAGAGCTATGGTTGTAATGCTCTCACAGTGTATGTATGTCTTGGCACGCTTCATAACTCTAAACGACATGATATATTAAAAATACGAGGTGGCATTAAATTATTTTACATATACCTAAAGAGGTAAATTACACCTAAACCTAAAGAGGTACCTAAAGAGGTACGATACGTTATTTACATATTACATTTAAAGAAATGTAATATGTAAATAACGTATTGTAAGTATTAACATAGTTACTCGTGTTACAATGACACTGAAAAACAAATCTGTTTTTGACTTATATTAATATTCATATTTCTCATTTTATAGGATATAAGATATGGTGAGAAGTTCAGTCGAGATTTCGTAGATGTAAAGGAAGATAAGGAAAGTGAAGAAGGCATAATGAATTTACACAACAATGAGGCTGGTCGTAGGGTAAGATCATTTTAAAATCAAGTATTATGTTTAAGTTAGATTTAAACTCGATTTAATATATTCTAAGGTTTTTAAATTAAGCTACAAAATCTAAACTTCTTTTTAAAGTTTAATTTAGAAATGTCTGTATTGAATTAATCAATACACATTAAGAATTACATTGTAAGATTGTGAGCAGTAAACACTTAAGGCTATCTCCAAAGACGTCAAACATAACTATAACCGTGAGAATATTTCAATACAATATTATTTGGAACAATACAGTTGTTCTTCGATATCGGTATTTCGGCATCTTTGTAACGTATCCTTCGAAATTCACTAATGACCATACTTTTTTGTTTCATCGTAATCGACACTATGACGTGGATGTATGCGTTGTTGCGATTTAAAGATTGGAAAGCTTTTCGAATTCGCTTTAACGTTTTCTGTTCTTTAAAATTAATCAAGTGCGTGTTGGTTTTACGAGAGGGTTCCGTACCATAATAATTGTTATGAACTTAACAGTAAAATTTGATTTTATATAGAAAACTTGTCAAGTCAATGTCCCTATAGTGATGTCGACTCACACTTGTCCATTTAGCATTATTGATCAATTTAAAAAAAAAAGGAGGAATTTAATTGGGATGATGATTTTTTTATGCGGAGGTATGCGACGTGATATCGTCAATTGTAAACCAAGGAATAATTTCTTTCAGGTAATTTTAAAAAAGTCGTTTTTTGTCCTTGAAGTGTTAAAAAAATAAATAAATCCGATTCGATCCGTGCAGTGGACGTGGACGAGTGGTAAATTCGGATAAGGTTATCACCTAATAAACTTTCTTAGATTTACGCGAATACTTGACATTTTAAACACGCAAAAGCAAAATTTAAGAACGCATTAATAAAACATCTTATTTAAAAAAAATATATATAAATTAAATAGGTACATTGCTAGCGAATATTTGACATTGTAAATAACACAAAGTTTTCGGTTTTTTCGCAGATTTATTATGATTTTTGATTTCCGACGTGTTGAATGCTATATAGCAATCATGGTCACGGGTGAGATTTTCTCTTACCATGATTGCTGTATAATATAATTCTAAACATATACATTTCACGTATAGGCAGTTCGCGGTCGCATGCAACGTGTATGTAAATGCCACGGCATGTCTGGTTCGTGCTCCGTGCGCGTGTGCTGGCGGCGCCTGCCGCAGCTGCGGGCGGTAGGGGACGCTCTCACTACGAGATACGAGGGCGCGTCGCATGTTAAGGTACGATATGGTTATTGTTTGGCTTACTTTAAACATTTCTAGAAATAAACATATATTGTAGTAGATACTATTTATGCTAGTAAGTTTTCGAAAGACTTCTAATTCCGCCAATTTGTAGCCAGCGTGGTAGACTATAGTCTGATCCTCGTGTTGAAAGGAGAGGGAGGAATCTTATATGATTATAGAAGAATACTAATTATGTTTATTGTTTAAATTATTTAAGAAATCTCTGAAATGTGCTATAGGAGATACTAAGGATTTCATTATCATCATGCTATAAGTTACGGCCGATTAGCAATTAATAAAAAAAAGTTGGAGATTGTAAGAACCTTATATGTATGTATGTTTAATGATTGGAAATGTATTGATCGTATGGATCTCATTATGATATACTAGTGACTCATCCTCTCTTCGCTCGGGTTCGTCCCAAGCTTACTTACAAACTTTCATCTATATTTTCACCCCCTTAAGGGTTGATTTCCGGGATACAAAGTATCCTATGTCCTTCCCAGGGTCTCAAACTTCGTACCAAATTCATCTAAATTGGTCAGTAGATCCAAAGATTACCTCATACTACGTCACAAACTCACAAACTTTACCTCTTTATAATATTATATTAGGTTAAATAGGTAGTAAAGTGTAACATATGGTGTACCTGATAATAAGGAGTATATTTGATGATGGAGAGAAGGGGAGGTCGGAAAGGAAAAAGGAGGAGGAAGAGATAGGAAGAGTTAGGCTACCTACCTCTTCTCTCTAGATTTTATGTCTTAAATAAAAAATCTAAAATTAAAAATTTCAGGTGGTAGAAAGAAAAAGGGGGAAGAACATAAGAAAATTACGTCCAATACACGCTGATATGAAGAAACCAAATAAAACAGACTTAGTGTATCTAGAAGACTCCCCAGACTACTGTGAGCCCAATGAAGAGTAAGTTATAGTTTGATTTATTTATTCACTAGTATTTGAACAATAAATTCAAAGAAATTAGGCTATGATACAGATTTATGTATATGTATAGTACAGATTCGTAAGAGAATAAGGGATCTGCTTTACATTACGTAAGATAACATTGAATGTATTAGGTTTTTACTACCTACTCACCCTAGCTACGGCCGGGATCGTCCCTAGAGAAAAACAAAAACAAATCTATCCCACGGGAACCGTACATTTTTCTGGGATAAAAAATAACAAATATGCTATTCCAGACGACTATAGTCTCTCTCTCTGTGCCAAATTTCATCCAGATCCGATCACCCGTTCTGGCGTGATTGAATATCAAACATCCATCCCATTTTCCGCATTTATGTAACTTCCACACTTTGCTCGGATACGTCCTTGCGTATCCAACAGTAGCCTTCAAATCATCTGTTACTAGGTTCATCTAAATCTGTCCAGCTGTTTCAGTGTAAAGGTGCAACAACCATACACACTCATACATATTATAAAAACTTTCGATTTTATAATAGTACCTAATTATAAGAATACCAGCGAATAGCAAGCAACTCACCGTCGCTTCGCTCGGATTCGTCCCTAGGTCTAGGTCCCTTGTTGTGGGTTGTATTATAACATGTTTTCCCTTGGGAATGAGATAATTTTCCGTTTCTTTTTTCACATTTATAATATTAGTATGGATATGGAAAGGAAAATAAGGTTATATTATTAATATTTCAGGCTAGGTATTCTCGGTACTAGAGGCCGAACGTGTAACAGAACATCTGCAGGATTGGACGGATGTCGTCTGCTGTGCTGCGGTCGGGGGTACCAGACTAGGGTTAGGGATCACGAAGAGAAATGCCGATGCCGATTCGTCTGGTGTTGTCGCGTCCATTGCGAGATATGCCGGTCGAAAAGAGATCACCATGTATGTAATTAATCGTTTATCTTTTACAGTAAACTCAATAGATTCGAATGGAATATTCACTTAAGTAGAGTATTTCTAGTATTTGGCGATTGATTTAGAAAGAACAATAGTGTTGGTATTGTGTTAATTGATATTTTTTAATAATTTTGCAAAGTTACATATGAAATAGTACTAATAAGAGCTTCAATGAATTAATTACTTTAAATTGAATTAATCTTGGGTTGTCTTCAACAAAAACCTTCTTTTAAAGAATTTGAAATTGTAATTAGTACTCAGCAGAAATCGCGCGATCTTTAAAGGAATAAATTATTTGATTCTTATCAGTTAAAATTAAGGCAGATGCTATCTTTTTCCACAGAACTGCATTTGTTTTTATAATTAATTAAAATAAATTGTTAATGTCATTGTCTTTACCAATCAATCATTGAAAGATAATAGTTTTAGAGTTTCCGCACACTGTATTCTTTATATAACTTAGTTTATTCAGCTTGCTGTTATTAATGAGTCTAAAGTGTTGATTCCCACACAAACTTTTCGCACCACTTTTTTATATTCAGCGATGGAATTTCTAAAACACTTATTTAATGTTTCTAGAAAATCAAGTTTTTTCTGTATAAAATATCAATTAAAGTCTTTCATGGTCGCAGATAATATTCTTATGATGTAAATACCCCATGGTATTTACCGGGTTTTTCACTTACTTTTATGCGTTTTCGTTATTCCGGCACTTTGACAATGGTCATGGGGATATTTCACCATACAAATGTTGTCGATTGAATCATTAAAATGTCTGGATTACTACATCTCATAACCGTTCAAAGTATTGCATAAAATATCTGCAGTGTGTGGAAGCACTTATCAAGTGAATTTTTAATTTACGTATTATAACGACAGTACTTAAAAATTCGTATAATATTTTCGTTATGAAATAATATACTTGAATTAATGCAGGTATAAATGTAATAAAGGCATATTGCTCTTAACTTTTATTATATGTTACTCGTATTTCTATACTTAAATGTGCAATTGTTAATGATTCAATTTGACATTTTAAATTAAACTTTCTTTTCAGATTTTTTCGCGGTTTTATTTTATATTTTTGTTCCCGACGTTTCGAATGCTTTACAGCAAATACGAATAGTCGCTTCTGTGACTATGTTTGCTGTAAAGCATTCGAAACGTTGGGAACAAAAATCTTATAATATTAAATGAGCAATTCTTGTACCTATATTTTATTACGTGTATCTCGGAAACGGGTCTAACGATTTGAATCAAATTTTGTATTTTAAATAAGATTTTGCTTTTTTAATTATCTGTATGGATGTTTTAATTTTAAATGCAATTTTTACATCTTTTCCAAAAATACACGATTTTACAAAAAAAAACACGCTGAGCGAAGATTCGTCGCTCAGGTACCTACTATAAAATAAAACCGCGTTAAATTCCAGAAAGATAGTTTCATTTAAAATGTCAAATATTCGCGTAAATCTATGTAATTTAGAAAGTATTAAATCAATATAATTTTCTCGTACGTTATTATGATATAACTGAAGTTACGCAACTTATCGAATATCCTAAATGGACTGATACTTTTAGTTACTTATAATTTTAATTACGTTTGTTTGATTAAGCTTTAAAATTTTTACAGTATTACCAACTTATTTATTTTATTATTTTTTATTGTACAAAGTTGTAAATAGCTAATGTTATAGGTTATTTTAGTTATCAGTACAAAATGTATGTTATTTTTGACAGGTATTAAGTTTGTCGCCTAGACAATAGTTGGAGATACATTGAAATTGTCCACGTTTTAACCGACTTCAAAAATAGGGAATTCTATATTAAAATTAATAATAATAAATTAATTTCAATAGGTTACACATAATTGTTGATTTTCAATGATTCTTCTTTTATTGAATGAACTTTAATAATATAATTTACGTAAAAACCGTTATTCTGATATATTTATTGCTAACGATTTACTCTCGCTTCGCTTTGGGTTAATCCTTTGACATAAATCAATCTAACTCACGGGAACCGTATATTTTCCGGGAAAAAAGTGCTATTCGTATGTGCTTTTCCAGACTGTAATCTATCTCTGTGTCAAATTTCATCCAGATCCGTTCAGCCGTTCTGGCGTGAAAGTGTAACAAACATCCATCCATCCTCAAACTTTCACATTTATAATATTAGTAGGATCATTTTTCAATGCGTGGATTATTTTGAAGTCGGCTTAAGTTTAATGTTAAAAAGTCACTATTTTCTATTTTTTAATCTATTCGCCTTTGCTCTTACACTTTCATCGTTTGTAAATAATGTCGCACTAAATGTACTTACTAGGATTAAGTTATTTTACGTTCTACCTCAAATGTGAAATCTTAACCAGCTTGAACAAAGCAAAAGGGGCGTAAGACTCGTAGTCTCAAAAAATCGTTGTTGTAAATAAATTTTGATATTAAGATTAGTAATTTATTTTATTAGATTGTGATAGCTTTATATATTACACTAAGATTTCAACTTGGTACGTAGTAATTGATAATTTATACATTTTCCATTTAAATAGATGTAGTCTCCTTGTATATAGTCCATAGTATTCGTTATTATAACTTTGTATCGCCTATGGTTAACTTAAAATCGTTAGATATATCTATTTATTAGGGTGACGTGGAAGAACCAAAAATTGTTTTTTAAGTCTTATATGAAAATATGTTAGATTTTCATGTTTTAAGAGCCCTATTAAAAGATCAGCTCAAAAAAATGTTTTGGGGTCGCTCAAGATTTTTAAAAATTCGCTAGGAAACATCAAAAGCTAGCAAACATGTTCATAAATTCTGAGTGACCTTTAAAAATCAATATTGTAAGCTGTAACTTTGACAGAGAACTTTGCGAACTTTCAGTGAGACAAAAAATGAAAAATGAAAAGAAGAAATGAATTTTGGCCCTGTTTAAAATTTTTAAAATCCTAGAGCTTTTCCTTCCTTGATCCTTTTTTTTCGAGCTGATCTTTAAAGAGGGCTCTTAAAACATGAAAAAACTAACATATTTTCATACGAGACACAAAAAAATAGTCGGTTTTTTTTCGCCACCCTACTAATTATGTATCAGTTTATTAGAAGTAAGAGGCTTTTACGGTTACAAAGCTTAGACTTTGACTTACATTTTTCTGATGTACCTCTGGGGTTTATTTTTGGGCCTAAACTTTTAATAATTTTCATTTTATAAAATTTTAATTTCACACGTTTCTAGTTTTTAAATATTTTAACAGACTTAACAAATAAGTACACTCAAAATAAATCTACTGTTCTAAATTAAAATAAATGTAGGCTTAATATGTTTTTGACTTGAGAGGTCCGTACCAAATGTTAATGTTTACTAATTATTTGTGTACAGTCAGCAACGAGTGTTGCAATGATATTAATTAGCAGGATTTGACTGATTAAATGATTTTCGCTGTTAACTGTACACACAGATAGAAACAAAACCTCTAGTGTAATTTTTTTTCGATATGAAATAGTTACTATTTGATGTAAACTGCATTAAATAAATGTATTATAAAATCGAGACCCTTGTTTTGTTTTTTTTTATGTTTTTTCCAAAAATCTGTATTATATACGAGTATGACCATCAGTCGAGATTTGGGTGTGTTTTTGTGTATCATATTGTGTAAAAGACGTAAGTACTCTTATCTAGTATAGACTAAGTACGTGGATTTATGTATTAATCGAAGTGTCACTATACGATGGTATGATTTTTCGTGTAGGTATTTTATATTGATCCTTTTTTTCAGGCAAATCGCTAAGTACAGCAGTATTTGAAAAGGCACTATAATTCTATGGCTACACTAAAATTGGTATGCTTTTTAAATCAGTGCAATCATTTCTTATCTTATCAATACTTTGTGTCAATATTTGAGAATCAAATAAATCTGGCTAAATCCTTAAACTATTATAAAATATTATTTGTTTATATATCGATAATTCTTGGAAGTATTGAAGTTATTCTAAAATATTTTATAGCTAACTAGCTAAAAAAGGACTGAATACATAAATGGGATGGAAGACTATATATATATATATATATATATATATATATATATACATAGGTACGATATAAATGGTTCGGAAATTTTCGGTTTTCCCTTTTTTTTTAATACTTAAACAGCCCCACAAAACACAAAAGAATTATTCGAATTGGCGGAGCCGTTTTTGAGTTTTAGTGAAACTAACGAACGGCAATCGATTTATATATATATAGATTAAAATCTATACCATAGATTAAAAAAAACGTGCTTGTTGGCCGAATTGCTTTAGCGTTTTTTAAGAAAGGGTTCATTGTTGAAAGTAAAAAAAGTAAAGAGAACTCAATGGAGTATTTAGAAAAATATTTTATTTTAATTAAAATAAAATCAAAAATGATATGCATTATAGTTAATTTATAACTTATAACGCATAGTTACATATATCTTATTTATTGGCCTAAAGGATTATCGACCCATGGGTAGACTCTGGGGCATGTATTGCAGATTCTCATGTAGTAAATTTTCTGTAAAAAACAAATTCAGTTAATACGAGACATATTATAAATATATATAAATGTTAAACAATATATGTATATTTACATCGTTATCTATAAAATAGCATCTACGTTTATTGTTTAAATGATCTTAAAAAATATGAAAGTTATTATTTTTAGTGTACATTTTTTAAAAACTTCCACAAATGAAAAATCTTGAAAAACGCTATTTGATTGCACCTAAAGAATTTCAGATGAATTCGGATAAAAAGCAGTTCTACAATCACAAATTTAATGCAGTCGTTGTGAGAATACATACTATTTTTAGAGATAGTGAGTTTGATTCCTATGCATAATGCATTTTTGTACTGATCATATTACATACATATATGATTATCTTGATATTATACAAAAGTAGGGCTGGGCTAATGGGCTAAGAAAATCTTCAAGAGGATTATTCGATTCGAGATAACGAAAAGAGATGAGAGAAAATTTTAAGAGTAAAAACTGGTTAAAATTAAAGAAAATAACCTCAGTGTGTTCAGCTAGTAATGCGTTACAGGCTTCTGGACGGCATATGGTGCGAGTCCACTGTTTGCATGGTCGGCTTGCGTATTCACTTAGTGGGACTGGTTGTCGCACCCATTCAACAACTTCATTGGCGTTTACCTTTATAACATTGAGGATGAAAATATAAATGATTATTCGGAGATTCTTATTCTGCAAGTTATCCTATGGACAGGTTACTAAGATTTCATAGATTTATACAAAATGATCGAATAGGTCTAATGTAACCTTAGATAAGCCAAGTAGTAGACTAAGCTAATCTAAGGTTACATATTATAACAGACCACACAGAAAATAATAAGGTTAAAATATAAGAAAATGTTATTTCATTTTGAATTTAATAAATATTAAGTATATAAAATTACCATGAAAACATCTGGTAAGTTGTTTAGCATGTCCAAGAATCGGATCATAGCATTGAGGAAACTGGGATTTGAGCTGATATATCCTTCATTAATGTGGAAACCAAAAGGAGCGCGGTTACTCAAGTAATGTCTTTCAAAGTTTTTAACGAAGAAGTTGAACCAACCTTGTTCATCAGACTCAGGACTAAAACAGACATTAAATTATTAAGTTGTGTCTTTTGTATGTATAATATTATGTACATACTAGCGGCTTACCGAAAAACAAAAACAAATCTATTCCACGGAAACCATACATTTTACCGAGATAAAAAGTAGCCTATGTGGTATTCCAAACTATAATCTATCTCTGTGCCAAATTTCATTCCAATCCGGCTGATCGGCGTGATTGAGTAACAAAAGTTCGAAGTTCGGTATTAATGTTCTTGAATAAAATTAAATAAATACTTTTTTCAAATTCATCCTTTAAGGGGGTAAAATAGGGGATGAAAGTTTGTATGAAATTATTTTTTTTACAGATTTTTTAGTAGTTTTAGCGCGAACCAAGCGCGGGTTCTGCTAGAAATCTACAAAATCTTTCAAAAGGGAGTAAAGGGTAAAAACTTAATATTGAATATTTAGTTAATAGTTAGTTAAAAGTAGTAGACTACTGTAAAGGTTCAATTCCAAAAAAATATAGAGGTATATCTTTAAATGAAACTGTTTAAAAGATACTTACTTAAAGAAGCAAGAGTCAACTGTGACGCACGGTACACCTTGTAAATCACTCCATGCTAGCAATGGCATTACCCATGGTCCAGGGATAGCCTCAGTTGGGCAATAAGGAGTAATACAGTCTTGGACGGATTTATAGTCCAAAGTATAAGGCCATAAGCCAGGGTTGGTATATAGAACAGAAGCCCAGCTCATATCGAATTTTAAGTTTGCTTTATTCATCATCTTGTACGTTGCGTTACCAGATAATTGTAAGAACGGACTGCGAATTCCTATAATGTTTTGAGATACTTAATGATATGTATTTTATTATTAAAATCACTATGAATTAGGTTACTGTCATTCATAACACATCAATTCTCATCAATCCTTTGGTTTCAATTTTCGTACATATTTTTTGTTGTAAACTGCTCAAGCGAGCGCGTTACCACTGGCTACCACTGCCTCCTCGTTTACTTGGAGTAAGTTATTTTATATGGTGTAAACATAACTATAAAGTAATAGATAATACAATTCACATCAAAATCCTCCAAGCAAAAGTTGCGTCATAATCATAATGCTAGACATGAGTATGGAAGTTTTTGGATAATATTATATCGAAAATTTAATTCGAAACACTCTTTAGATATCACAAATAAGTAATTTGACGACACATTTGGCTCAGTTTGTAGTGACTCTACTTACTGTGCCAGCGGTCACGGGTTCGAGTCCCGCTGGGGGGCATCCATATGTGATGAGCACGAATGTTTGCACTCCAGTCATGGGTGTTTAATGTTTATATTTATAATATGTATGTATTTAAAAAAAGTTATACATATATGTGTAGAGTATCAACTACCTGGTATCCATAACACAGGCCTCGTAGCTTACCGTGGAACTAGATGGTGCTGAGTGTTAATGTCCCAACACATTTATTTATTTATAATGCGCCTTAGTTTCAAAATATAATATTTTTTATAAAAAAACAATAAAATATATAAAAATATTATGTAAATTACTGACCTTGTATAGAATCCGCGGTAATGTTTGCAAAGTAAGCTATTTGATCTCTTTGTTCGCCGAATTCTTTCAGTAAAGTTTCTTCTGAGGCATGTTTCCAGAAATACTGGGTGCCTGTACGGGAAATGGAATTCAATCCGATTTCGAAGCCTTGATTATAAATTTCATTGACAAGTGAATAGTCTGTGTATTCGTGAGGGATGAAGAAAGTCGCTCCAATTGGGCAACCGTTTCTGTTCGTGCGGCCGAAGAGCGTGTGGCGATATGTCAGTATGTTGTTAACGTTGATTGCATTGTGGAATGTGAAGAGGACAAACTAAAAGCAAAAAAATATTTTATATATTGTTTCAATGGATTCAAGTAATGCACAAACTTTTAATTTAACTAGTTCGTGTAAAGTTATTTTTTTAATTATAATATATGAATCGTCAGCTTGGTCAGAATATTATGTAAGAATGTATTTTTTATGGAATCAAATTAATCAAATTTTACATAAACAAATGTATCTATAAAATTTGTATAAGATATTGACGTTCTATAAATGACTACATGAATGTGTCTGTGAAAAATAACTAGTATATAATGAGGCTACGTGTTCACTTAACCTTATGATAAATTATTAAAAAAAAATTAATATGAAAAATTATTGAGTGATGTTCTTACTTCATGTTTCTATTTTTTTTTATAAACTTGAATCTAACTAATACAAAGAATATTTGTTACTATATAGTAAACTAGCGACTCGCCCTCGCTTCGCTCGGGTTCGTCCCTAGCTTGATTCCCAATACAAACTTTCATCCCCATTTTCACCCCCTTAAGGGAAGATTTACGGGATGAAAAGTATCCTATGTCCTTCCCAGGTCTCAAACTATCTCATTTAAATCGGTTCAGTAGATCCAGAGATTACCCCTACAACGTCATAAGCTCACAAACTCAAACTCACAAACTTTACCTCTTTATAATATTAGTATAGTATAATATTAATATTTATAATATTAATATAGTATTCTAATAATATAAATGATGTTTTAAAATATTTTTAGGGTTTTTTGATGATTTAAAATTTTTGTAAGTAAATATTATTAGCTATGATTTTATTGATTGAATATAAGTTTCTTTGTAAGTGAAAAATTTTTACTTGTTAATTTAGAATTTTTATCGTTATAACAATTGAAATATTTATGAAAACTTAAAAAAATACGAACCATATAATTAGCACTTTTGTCTATAACATTATTTCATTAGAAAAACGTACCTGTGGAGTATCCCTCGGTTCTAGACCACCAGGAATGCTGGTTGAGGAACACCTACATGTTGGTAGTTGACACGCACTCTCGTCACATGGCTTAGCGAGAGTGTCATCCTCTGCATTTGCAATGGCGAAAAGCGCCAGAGCACACAATATAGTGATTAACTTCATTTCGCGTACTCTTCAAAGTGGGACAAGGCAGGAAAATTTACTTTTATATTCCAATCATTATAGAGATAATGATCGCGGTAACCTGACAAGAGTGTCAGTCGGGTAACCGCGATCCGCAGATATATGATGATTAATTAATAATTATTGTGTCACAATTTCACTTTTTTTTGGTTCAAATGTAAATGTAAATTTTGGAAAAAAATAATAATGATTTAAATTTAGATTTAATATTCGTTTATTAGGCACTATACAGCTCAAACTACTATACCTATATAATATACACCGAAAAAGGAGTGTTAATTTCATATTATAATTTTTAAATTTACCACTGCCTATCTATGAAACATAGTGTACACATAATCCGATTGCTATTATAAATGCGAAACTTTGTATCTGTGTGTAAGTTTGTTACTCCTTCACGCTGAAACGGCTGGTCGGACATTAGTGCTTAGTACACAGATAGATATAACCTGGAGTAATATATAGGCTACTGTGAGCCATCTAAGGAAGCACCCGAACGAAGTGAGGGTAAGTTGTTAGTATATAATATGCATGATTAAAAATCTAAAATTACATTTAATTTTTAGATTTCTACGATTAAAGACTTAATATTGATAAGAAATCAAATGCATTTTTTATCATGATCTTAATGTAGGTAGGGCTTAAGGTCTGGAACCGATTTTTTTATAATGATAATACAATTTTAATCAATTCGATTTATCATTTTAAATAAAACTATCTTTTCGAATTTTTTCGCGAATTTATTTAGATTTTTTGTTCCCGACGTTTCGAATGCTTTACAGCAATCATGGTCATGGAAGAGACTAAGACTTAGGTGTCTTAAAGGCATTATATAGTTGTTACAGACAGCCTACCCACAAAATAACAAAATAAATTCCAAAAATTGAAAAATGGCACCAAAATATCCTCCAATATTTGTTAATTTAATTTTAAAACATTTTTATATAATTTTAATTAATTTTATAATTATAATTGAATATGGAGTATTATTTATTTAATTTTAGCTGTTATTATTATAATTATTGCAATTTTTAGAAAAAAATATTAATTAGTAATCTGTATTTAGTGTTGCCATTATTATATTTATAACCATAAAGAAAAATTAAAATATTTTATCATTATCTCTATAACGATTATAAATTATATTATTATATAGATACATAAATATAGAAATATTTACAAATTATATTCAAAAGCCTTCCTCGTTTACCGCTCTTTCTATTAGTGACTACTGTATCAAAATTCGTTGCGTGTTTAAAGAGAAATAAGCGCGGAAACACACAGAGGTAGATAGCGACTTTGTTTTATACTAAGAGTATTTTTGTTATAATACAGTATACTCGTATACTGTATGGGTATCATGTATTCAGCCCTTTTTAAAGTCCCACTGCTGGGGGTGAGCCTCCCTTCAATACGAGGTGGGTCAGGCCCTAATCCACCACGCTTGCCAAGTGCTGGTTGGCGGACTTCACATGTTTTTCGATAACTTGCTAGGTTCTCTGAGACATGCAGGTTTCCTCACGATGTTTCCTTCACCGTAAGGTAAGTCGTAATCATGTTAGAAATGATTCGCACATGAAAATATTAGAGTTGCGAGATCCGGGATTTGCCAGGCATACCAATTTTTAATAGAAGTTCTAACTAAAAATTTAGGTAGCAGAGCAAAGTGGTTTCACGGAATTATAAATTTCGTGTGATAAAACGTCCACAGAACAATCCAGGCGTTTCGTGTATTAGTATTTTTGAGATTAATTAACCAAGCAAGTACTCGTATATCTCCTAATATATAAAAGTTAGATTATTTTCATTTTTAAAACACTTTAGTCAGAACTTTTATAGAATACTTTATACGGTTTATTGATTTGCTAGACAAAAACCAGGATAGCTCGGCTATACCAATATACAATTAATATATGTATGTAATACGCTTTGAAACCTTTTAACAAAAGAATTGAATTGACAAATATAACATAATACAGTTGTAATTGATAGCACCTTGGGATATTGTAGATATATGTAAGATACTAGAGACTTACCCTCGCTCCGCTCGGGTTCGTCCTTAGATACGTTTTAACGGTTAGTATAGATTTCTCAGAGATAAGATATTTTCCTTCGGTATAAAGTATCCTATATGTTGACACGGATAACCAGTTACCATCATATCAATCTGTTCAGTGGTTTTCTCGTGATGAATTCCCAGATAGATAGATAGACAGACAGGCAAAAAACTAAAACTATACATTCGGCCTCTGTATCGATAATATTAAATAGGTATTTCAATAACATGTTCCAAAAAAATATTTAATGTACAAATTTAACTCAGAATTTTATTATACGTATAGGTTAGTGCAAGGATAATTAGAATTAGTTTTAGAGTTTATTGATTGCAATCAAACAAATCTTTCCCCATGATAATACCTATTAGTCAAGAATTAAGATACGTGTTTAAGCACTCTGTTACCATGGAGGTCTTGTTAAAACAATCTCAATAGATTCATGGCGTTATATGTATCGATTTGATATTAGAGTAAAATTAACAAAAGGCAAAAGATAGATTCCAATAAGATATTCTCCGAAAATGGTCTAATTAAACGAAAATGAAATTGCGCTAGTAAGTTAAAGAATAAAATTACTGATCATTCTAATATCAGCAAATATAGTAGTAATGAGTTTGTGGTATATATTAACAGATGGCGCTTTTATTTTTAATGTATTGTTTAAATACGGTAAAAAAAAGTCCATTTCACTGAAATTCGTTTCAAGATGAATTTTGCAATATTTATCGTTTTCGGTTTAGACATTTCTATTAATAAAAGAAGGTTTATCTTTTTCGTTATTTTCATATCATTAAGTATTATGTAAAAGAAATATCATTATTTTTTTAATCTGCATCTTGCATATTTAGGTACATCTCTGTTTAATACAAATAGCTACTCGTATAATAGAAGGCTGTAATTCCTGTAAGGGCTTGCTCGTTTACATTTAAATAAAATAATTTTATTATATCGAACTGAGTTTTTATTTTTGTCGAAAAGAATGAAACAAAATAACTATGTTAGTTATATTAAAAACATAAGTTTTTCGGGCTTATAAGTTATAAACCAAGAGGATTGCCGATCCATGGGTATGTTCTTGGGCAACTGTTGCAAATACGCATCCAGTATTGCATCTGAAATAGAAAAAGTACTATGTTATTTCATTATATATTACATAATGTATATAATTATATTAATTAACAGATATATATATATATATATATATATATATATATATATATATATATATATATTTAAACTTTTCAATTTTATTATGTTAACATTGGTTTAAGACATAATATTTTAAATGTATGAAGTAAAAACTAAAATAATATTTACTTATTTAATAAATTTAAATTTGTGTCTTATGATTTTCGAAAATATAGTTAAAATAGCGAATACTATTAATAATTTTAATAATAGAATATTTATCAACATATTTATAATTGCAAAATTATATAAGTGAGAGAATATTTCATTAGTAATGATCTACTTTACATAACATTTAAAATTGGTATTAAATAACACTTGACGGACTTACTTCAGTATGACTAGAAGACAGAGGTCCACAGCTTGTGACACGGCAAGCACTTGGCGTCCTTCTCGGGCAATCTTTTTGCACATATTCGTTAAGTGGTATAGGATTTTGAACCCAGTTGATAACCTCATTAGCGTTTACCTAGAATTAAACATTTTTATAGCTATGCAAAGGCGTTCTTATTGCCATAGAAATCACTATCAGACAACCTTTGGTGAAAAGATTTGAAGTAATAGAAACGGGACAGCACAAATGCATGTTATTAAAGAATACATACTAGATATAATATAATAATTATTTATGCCATATAACATACCATAAAAACATCGTTAAGATTATTGATCATGTCTAAAAATCTAACAAGCGCTCTTCTTGCAGCGTCGTTTACTGTGAAAAACGCCTCATGCACGTAGTAGCCGAAGGGTGCACGGTTTCCAAGGTAATGTCTTTCAAAGTTTTTAATGATGAACTGGAACCACGCTTCCTCATCATGTCCAGGACTAGAACGTATTTAAACATTAATTTTCTAATGAACAACGAAAGTATAATCAAAGAGAGTACGGTAATAACAATTAATTGTTCGACAATTCAGCCCTTTTTGACGTTCCTCTGCTAGGCACGAGCCTGCCTTCAATACGAGGGAGATCAGACCATAGTCCACTACGCTGCCTAACTTCATGTCTTTTTTAACCGACTTCCAAAAAGAGGAGGTTCTCAATTCGTCGGAATCTTTTTTTTATGTATGTTCACCGATTACTCGAAGACGCCTGAACCGATTTGGAATTTTATTGTTATGTTTGAAAGGGTATACTTCCCAGGTGGTCCCATATAAGTTTTATCGAAATCGGTCGAGCGGTTTTTAAAAAATCAACAATAAATATTTTTTTAAGCAAATTGCTTAATCGTATATGTTATTAAAACTTTCTTCCTATAATTACCTGCTTATTACGTCTACACTAAAAATTTAAAAATAAAACCTTTTTAACAAAAAATAAAACCGACTCCCAGGCACTAAACTGTAAAAAATAACTAAACGGGGGTTTCATTTAGAATTGATACCTAATCAGATATTTTTGAAGTCGGTGCCAGCGGACAATATTTTAAGATATGAATATCTAATAGTAAGTATGTATTTTACGTATCAAAATATATTAAATTTCCTATGAGTCGGCAGGCACCGACTTCAAAAATATCTGATTAGGTATCTATTCTAAATGAAAACCCCCGTTTAGTTATTTTTTACATTTTAGTGCCTGGAAGTCGGTTTTATTTTTTGTTAAAAAGTTTTTATTAAAATTGTTAGGTACCCTCAGAGTCAGACATGCAGGTTTTTTCACGATGTTTTCCTTCACCGTAAAGCAAGTGGTAATTCTTTTGATAGTATTTTATTTTAATTAAACCAAAAGAAACATATTGTTTCTTAAAAAAACTTTAACATAGAAATAAGAATAGGTAATATTAAAAACGACTATAATATGCGCTTACTTGAAAAAACAAGCATCAACAAAACTGCATGGGAGTCCTCCTAAGTCCGACCAAGCAACTATAGGCATGACCCATGTACCAGGAATGGAGGCTGTAGGGCAAGGGGGAACGATGCAATCTTGAGTACTTTGATAGTCCAATGTGTAAGGCCATAGTCCTGGATCGGTGAATGCAGTAGTAGGCCAACTCGAATCATATTTGAGTCCAGCACTTGACACCACTTGGAACGACGAATTACCAGAAAGTTGGAGGAAAGGACTACGAATTCCTGAAAAAAAAAAAACACAATTATTTATAAAATTTTAGTTAGACCAACCAAATCATCTATCAATAAAAATAATATTTTAATTATTAGAAAAAAATATATACAAACAATTGATTAATTATTTGTTATTAAACTGTCCAATGAATCTAAAATTCCAAACTCAGGGCTGTTACTTAGAATTTTTTGTACTTGGTCCGACCTGAGACTCAAACGCAGAGCCTCGAGATCTACAGCCGTTAGGTTAATACTTGTTGTTAGATTAACAAAGCTTAAATATGAGTGTACTAATGATATTAAATTCTCGTTCAAGCTTTGAAGCTACTATCAAGAAATATGTTAAGCTATTGGTCTCATCATTCGTAAAAGATAAATGAAATTGATTTAACAGTATTTACCGAAAATTTCACTCTCGGGGATGTTGGCAAAATGCGACGTTAGAGTTATTTGATCACCGAATTCTTTCATTAATGTTTCATAATCTGCAGTCCTCCAATATACATCGTCAGTTCTATGTGATATTGAGTGTAGAGCGATTTCGAAACCTTGGTTATACAGTTCATTGACTAAACTATAATCAGTGTATTCGTGGCTGACGAAGAAAGTTGTTCCAGCTGGGCAGCTGTTTTTATTTTTTCTGTTATAAATGAGAGCCCGGTAAGTTTCGATATTGTTGATGTTTACACCATCGTCAAAGGTTAGAAGAACAAACTGTAAAAAAATATGACCACAAAATTTATCAATATATTTTTTTTTAATTTGTAATATATTTTTTAATATTATGTATAGTTCGCACATTATCCAAGCCGAATTCTTATATAAAATTAACACATACAAAGAAAAAAAAACGCAAACTAAGTTTTTCAAATCTTTAGAGCCAGTCCTATCCTTATTTAGACTAGACTAGTTGTTATTGTTGTGCCAGCCGATGCAAAGCAAATCTATACATATAATAAAATCGTAACTTAGCCGAATCTGTACTGTACATTGAATATTTTTTTGAAAATCTTATAGAAATAGACTTTATTCTCGATACAGAGGCCGAATCTATAGTTTTTAGAATTTTTGTCTGTCTGTCTGTTACCGCATCACGGAAAAACCACTGGAGGGATTTTGATGAAATTTGGTATGATGATAGCTGGTTACCCGGGTCAACATATAGGATACTTTGTACCGTGGGAAAATGTCGCATTTCAGAGAAAAAATACGAAAACTACATTGTAAGAGCATACTAATATGTAAAACCTAAGTATTTGGTTTTTGGTCATCTGAACGCGGGCGGAGCCGCGGGCAGTGATAATCTAATATATTTCCATACGTAAATACATCACAAATTGATGTACAATATTTTAACTATAATTAGAGTCCATATCTAATCATATTTACCTATTAGATATTCGATCTTAAAATATTGTCGGCTGGCTCTGACTTCCAAAATATCTGATTAGGTACTTATCTATTCTAAAGGAAAACCCCCGTTCTTTTAATGCCTGGAAGTGGTTTTTTTTAAGTTTTTATAATAAAAAAAATTATAAGCTTCAACAATTTCTATATGATATATTTTCTATTGTGACTACACAATCATACTGTCGTCATAATCGTCATAATTTCGCACAAATAAAATTGTTGACAAAAATTGCTGAGATTCGATTATTTAATTTTTCTTGATAAGTCTATACTCGTACTTAAAACCTAGCTATAGATATAAAAAATAAGTCTATATCTACAATTTAATACTTATTTGCACGATGTCAAAGCCCAAAGAACTCGTTAAACTTCGAAACGATAAAGTCATTTTTAATGAAACTTTCACTGAAAGATTGAGATACAGGGGCTTTAAGTTACTTCTTACTACGGCAAAGAATTATTAGTATATCTTTATCTTATCTTACATACCTGTGGGGTGTCTCTGGGAGCCAAACCTCCAGGAATTTCTACAGATGAACACCTGCAATCAGGTAGCTTGCATTTTTCTGGATCACATGGCTCTGCTAGAGGCAGTTCACTCTCAGCATATACCAATGCCAACACCACCAAATTACATAAAATTAAAGCAACTCTCATAGTTATTGTTTATTCTTTATTGACTAATACCGGTGTAAGATTTTTTTCGCTATTTATATTCACTATCTACTGCTATATCAAATTTAATTTGAAATATAGTATGTTCTGATTTAATCGTACTAGCTTTACATTTTAAAAGGCTGGTGATAATATAACTTATCAGCTATTTTTTATTGGGTTATTAAATAAAAACAAAGGTATCAATTTATTAATATAAACTTTATTATAAACTAGCGACTCATCCTCGCTCCGCTCGGGTTCGTCCCTACGTACGTTTTAAATTAAAATGCATAATATAGTAAGTTATCCTTAAAGTCTAGTTCGCATTAAGCTAGTATTTTAGTCTAGTAGCGAGTAATTTAGTAACTAAACGTGTCTGAACACTAAAAATTTAGTCGATTAGTTTAGTAAGTAATTTAGTCGAGTCAATCCATTTTATTCTATTTTTTTGGGCGAGTAGCAGCCCCCACCACGCGTCCGAGCTCACTGGTTCCCCGGCTAAACAAGTGCGAACCTGTCGAATTAGTCGAGTTCATTAGTTGCCGCCATAATGTCGTTTCGCTGGAGCGAAGAAAAAACTTTTAAATTTGTTTCGAAATATGTTGAACACGAATGCTTGTGGAATATTAGGTCCTTGCATTATAAAAACAAGCATATGAAACATTCCGCATACTTAGATTTGGCTTCCGCATACTTAGATTGATTTCGATTGGATTGATTGGATTGGATTCCGCATACTTAGATTTGGGATTTGGGATCAGCTTAATCAGTTTATTTACTTTATTGCGTTGTAGACTGTTCATCTTGCAAAACACCACTCACTTGTAAACTGTACTCGACCAAAGTGCGAACGATTTTTAGTGAGTAGCGAGTAATTTAGCTACTAAATTACTCGCTACTAGACTAAAATACTAGCTTAATGCGAACTAGGCTTAATAGATAGTCACATTGCCGATTTTTCTGTAGACCTATATAAGATACACAATTCCACCATACATTACTTTGTTATATCTCAAAGGGTTTAGGCGGCGTTTTTGTTGAAAGCTCCCAGACGGCTTTATTTTTTCCGACACCTCGAACAAATATCGTTATATTTTAGCCAATGTAACAAAAACTGAACATATTATAAACTAAAACCTTCCTCTTGAATCACTTTATCTATTAAAAAACCACATCAAAATCCGTTGCGTAGTTGTAAAGGTCTAAGCAGATATAGGGACAGACAGCGGGAAGCGACTTTGTTTTATACTATGTAGTCACAAGTTACTCTCGTTTCGCTCGGGTGCGTCCCTAGATACTTTTTAACCGGGAAAAAAGGAGGAGGTTCTCAATTCGACACGTATATTTTTTTATGTTTGACCTCGTATAACTTTTTATAGTGTAGTCCGATTTCGATGATTGTTTTTTTTATTGGATAGGATATATATACCTCAAAGATGGTCCCATTTAAATTTGAAAAAGAATCCACCCCTGAGTGTAGAAAATAGGGCATGGTTTATTTTACACCTACTGAATTTTTAAAAATACTCTATTCTTAGTTCGCTACTAGTATGTCTACACTAAAAATGAAAAAACACTTAAAAATTAATAAATGAAAACCGACTTCAAAGAAAAAACACTAAAAAGCATAATTCGTTAAAATCAGTTCAGTACTTTTTGCGTGAAATGTACACAGAAATACAGACAACCAGGCAGACAGACATACGTTGTAATTAAATCATTGTTTCGGGGTCTATACTCTATACACAATACGTTACAGTAATTGCTTTTTAAAATATTTCATGTTAAGTTTCTGTTCTATTAGGTATATGCAACATAAATAATATTATACGTACCACTATCTTAATTTTTAACATATTTTTTACATTTTGCTGAAAAAACTCCATGACAGTTATTGTTTTATTTATTTGTATTAACTTAATATGATATTATATAGTTGTTTCTTGCACAGAATAAGCACGTGAGCAGCAAGCACTCAATATGTTCTCACCAAGCGTTCGTAAAACACGAGTTAGCAATGAACTCTGCGCTGACACTAAATTTTTTCGATACCTGATCATCTCATTTGGATTTTTTTAAATCGCTTTACATTATACGTAATTTACTTGTTTTGAATACATGGTTAATTCAACCGGTGAGCAGATAGGCGAAGGACGAACTATTCTCGGATATTATATTAAAAGGATAAAGGGTGAAACAAAATATGATATTAGACGGACAGAAAGAAAACTTGTATATCATTATTAGCCATCAGGAGTAGGGATAGGGCGCTAGTTTTTACAAAGTTGTTTTCTATTCATTTCCAGCTACATATTTCGAAATACAATCATGTACGATAATCTTTATTTATTAACAAGAAGTAAAATATAGAAACACACCGACTTTTAATTAAAAGTGATACCTAATCAGTAACAGCCGTTTAATGATTTTCCATTATCAATGTAACTAACAAAATTCTTATCAGCGCTTTCAGTTTAATTTATACTTGTATTATAATAGATTATAGTTTGTATGTTTGAACGCAGACTTGAGTTGAGTTGTTTGAAGTTTCAAGAGATCCGATTGGAAAGTAAAAAGATCAGTCCGATTTCTTATTTTTTGTGTAATAGGGACGATTTTTAAATTTAATGAAACGGTTAAAGAAAATATCCATCTATTGTTTTTTAATTTGGTGTATTTATTTGTAGTCGCAATTAAAAACATGATATATTTTATTTTTAGCTGAACATATCTAATATATTTAAACGAGCAATTCGTGTATAATATATTTATATATATATATATATATATATATATATTTAAGGGGGTGAGAATGAGGATGAAAGCTTGTATAGGGAATCAATTGATTATTTTAAAGAAATTAAACGATCGTCGGTACTTATTATATAGACATAGTTATGTGTAGATTTTTTATTGTTGATCAAATTGATTATCATGTTTTTCACTTACTTCTGAGTAACTGATATTTCGGCATTATACAAGTGCCGTGTTCGTGTACGCAAATCATAACAGGAAGTGGAAAAACATGGTAAAACATATCTCATTTTACATCGACAAGACAAGACAAGTTATTCAAATTCGGTAAGAGAATCCAGGGAATAAAGAAAAGCAACCTTTGTTACAAACGGAAAAGTTTAATTATTTCATAAATCATTAGCATCATTAGTACTCTATTTTACTAGATTAGTATCAAGTTCTCGATTGTAAGCTTTTATACTACATTTTATTCCTATTTACGCCATCTATTGAATTCAACTCGAACCAGCATTTATTTACACGTCTTTTATCGCGCAAAGGAACTATTGAATTAGTTATACACGGTATTCATAGATGTCACTATATATTACTTTTAAAAATAATAATAATGGGATATTTTCCTTACATAAAGAATAATTTTACTTAAAACCCTTTATTATCTGTTTTATTTATTGTAATTGAAATAAGTTATTGATGTAAGTATAGATAATAACCGTGCAACGTAGGTTGTAAAGGGTACGTCGGTCTATGAACTCTGCCTTTACACGAGAGGTCGAAGGTTGAAAACTAGTGCAGTATACTATGTATAATAAATGGTCTAAATTTTATTTATTTCCTCTTCCGTTGTTCGCCTTTGCTAGCAAAAAGCGTGATTATATAAATAATAACATGTACCTGACATGAAATATTTTGAAACTCTTACAAAGAAGAAGAAATTATCGTCAATTCTCATAGTAAAATCATAAAGAAGTTTGGTCAGTATCAGTCAGTACAATTCTAAGGAATTTATTTTTTAAATAACCTTCACCGGGACTTTGTTGGCTATGTATTTATACTAAGGTTTGTAAAAGGTGCAAAAGGTTTTCAAATTGTTTCAACTTGTTCGTTATTCAAGTAATGACAACTAGATGGATTGGTTGACATTTTTACAATCTATATATATAAAAATGAATGCCTATTTTCCTTGGTCACGTCATCACGCGTGAACGGCTGGACCGTTTTAACTATATTTTTTTGTTGTGTTTGTTATTGTCAGGAGAAGGTTCTTAGGAAAGAAAAAATGGAAAAATTAACGAAAATAATAATTTAATGTATATGGCTAACGCTGGCTAATAACTATTTATATCTATTTAAAACGTACCTAGCGACGAACCCGAGCGAAGCGAGGGTGAGCCACTAGTAATATATAATCCTGAAAAAAAAAACGAAAAATATATTAAAATGGAAACTACTACATCGATTTTAATATAATAATGTATGTAATTGGAGTGTTAAATGAAAAATAGTAACCAATCTAAACCTAACTGATTTAATTGTTATTAATATCAGTATAGATATTTATTCGTGTATTTGATTTATCAGTAGTGACGTAATTAAGAGATTAATTAATTAATGTTTAATAAAAGTAAATAAAAATTCATATCAGAAACAATTTATTCTATTTACGTTAATTCTAGGAACACTCACATGCTCAACCACTACGCTCCGACGACTGATCTCTACGCTACGAGAAGTAGATGGTTCCTCTCATGGTCCACTCTACTATTGCTAATGGAACAAAATATAATGAGCTAGCGACTCACCTTCGCTTCGCTTCGAGTTCGTCCCTAGACGAAAACAGATCTATCCCACGGTAACCGTACATTTTTCCGGGATAAAGGTAACTTATGTAATATTCCAGACTATAATCTATCTCTGTGTCAAATTTTATCCAGATCCGTTCTGCCGTTCTGTTGTGAAAGAGTAACAAACATCTATCTATGCTCACAAACTTCGATATTTATAATACATATTTGTATGGATTAAAAAATGATGGTGTTTAAAGTTGGAAGAGGTCCGAAGAATGTACCAGTAGTACGGCTTAATAATTCGGTGGTAAGAATTGTACTTCTTAATTCAAAGACGACTTAGACATTGATAGAGAAAGATTAAAGAAAATTCTCCAAATATTCCAGTAACGTCAAAAATAGATTTTTAACCAAAGTTTTTACAGCTGTTAGTTATGAGTAAATTAAATGCTGCTTTATTTTGAATGTGATAAGAAAAAAGCTAAAATAGTACATTCCAGACTACGTTTTGTTATGTTAATAGTAATATTATTTTTTGTCTTTGACTCGCTGTTCACAGAAATGCAAAGTGTAAGTGAATACTGTTTTAGTTACTTTAAAATTATGAGTAAATTCGCTCTCGCTAAAACTACAAAAAACTCTAAAATGGTAGGTTTCATCTTAGAGTACAGCATATGTATAGTCTAAGGGTTTCATACAAACTTTCATCCGCTATTTTGTACCCTTATGAGATGAATTTCGAAAAATGCTAAAACACGTATTTAATTAATTGTATTGAAGAGCATTAATACTAAGTTTCAAGTAATTTTGATCAAAAATTTTTTTTTGGATTGTATTATAAGGTGTTTCCCCGTGGGAAAGAGGTAATCTCTCGTGGTAAAAAGTAAAAAACCTATGCCACTCTCCAACCCTCCAACTATCTCCACACAAAAAATCACGCCAATCCGCCAAGTCGTTTCGACGTGAAAGAAAGGCAAACAAACAAACACACTTTCACATTTATAATATTAGTATGGATTTCAATAATTGTATTTTAATCGATTCGTTATACTTAAAGACTTAAAGAATATAGAGACAACGTAGAGGTGGAAGAACAAAAAAAGTTCTAATTAGTACTAAGTACATGACAATTGTATGGGCCAAAGTGGGGAGAATCGAATCCGCACGCTCCTTTTCAAGATTAGTATCGAAAATGAAAGTAAAATACAACATATTATGCAATATATTTATGGGACGCTTTGAGAGATTTTGTATTTTTTAAGCATCAGAATAAATAAGAGCTTATGAGATTATTCAGTAGCTTGTCTGGACTTGAAAGGTATTTAAGCCAGCTTTTAGGATATACTTAGAGCATAAAAGGCACTTTGTACGTAGTCTTTGTGATCTTGAATATAATTATTTATACATATAATATTGTAATAAAACTGTAATGGAATTAAAACGGCATATAAGATATTCTTTGAAAAATTAATATATACATGTATTCAGCCCTTTTTATCGTCCCACTGCTGGGCACGGGCCTCCCTTCAGTACGAGGGGAATCAGGCCATAGTCCACCACGCTGGCCAAGTGCGGGTTGGCGGACTTCACATGTCTTTAGAAAACTTGCTAAGTTCTCTCAGACATGCAGGTTTCCTCACGATGTTTTCCTTCACCGTAAGGCAAGTGGTAATCATGTTAGAAATGATTCGCACATGAAAATATCAGAGGTGCGAGACCCGGGATTTAAACCCGCTTCACTCGGTTTCTCAAGCGAGCGCGTTACCACTGGGCTACCACTGCCTTTTTATATATACATACTAGCGGACCCGACAGACGTTGTCCTGTCTACACGTCTTTAATTTGAAAATTTCAAACTTTTTTTAATAATTTTTTTGATGAAAATTATTATTCAAATTGTGAATCTAAACCATTCCCAAATCCCCTTGAACACACACAAAAAATTTCATCAAAATCGGTCCAGTCGTTTGAGAGAAGTTCAGTGACATATACACTCACAGAAGAATTATATATATATAATTTACAAAATGTATAAGTTATTTATATACACTTCAGAACTCTTCGAAAACTAATTACATTAAATATTTTAATTAGCAACTTCACTTGAATAACACAATTATAACACAAAATAACGAAATACTTTTTCAAATTGATCGTAGCACTATCTGTCGGGACAAACTAAAATTAAAATAGAATAATATTGAATGCGATGGTAGCGCCATCCGTCGAATCTGATGTAAAACATTCCAAAATCAAAAACTCCTTACAAATAAAAATTAATTAAAAAAAACATCTGAATTCACAAAATTATTTATACACACTTCAAAACTCTTTAAAAAATAATTACATTCAATATTTTTATCAGCACATGAATTGAATAACAATTTTTTTTTTCAAATTAATCGTAGCACCATCTGTCGGGACAAACTAAAATTGAAATAGAATAATATTGAATGCGATGATAGCGCCGTCCGCCGGATCTAATGTAAAACATACCAAAATCAACAACTCCTTATAAATAAGAAATTAATTGAAAAAACATTTTCCAGTAGACCAAACTGTAAATCTAAACCATTCTCGAATCTCCACGAACACACACAAAAAATTTCATCAAAATTGGTCCAGTCGTTTAGGAGGAGTTCAGTCACATACACACGCACACAAGAAATATATATATTAAGATGTATAATAAACGTGTAACTGATCGTTGTCTGCACATTGAAGATATTTGAGAAAACCTATTATTGGGGTTCTTTAACCAATAGAACCCAAAACAATGATTATTAGAATTTTTGTCTGTTTGTCTGTGCGTTTGTGCGCGCTAATCTCAGAAACGACTTAACCGATTTGGGTGCAGTTTACTAATGTAAACTAGTAAACTAATGTATTGTGGTAAGCTTCACTTAAGATTTAGTATTTATTTTATTTCAATCGGTTCATAAATATAAAAACTATGTTAATTTAATAAACTAGGGACAAAACTGAGCGAAGCGAGGGTGAGTCGCTAATCTTTAATAAATTATGTATTGCTTGTTATTTCTTGAAGGCAGTGCAAGCAGATAAGTAAATCGTATAGGTAGTAATACGTACGCAGGAGGCCCATGCCCAGCAGCGAGCGCATTACCACTGGACTACCACTGTCTAACACGTTTCTAAAACTAGATAATGTGGCGGACCTCTAATATTTCTTAGTAACATCGGCCTCGGGCCGGTAATTATGTAAAAAAATATTCATGCCTGGTGAAAATCAAGTATATTTTCATACAAGTTTTTAAATGTCACATATTTTTAAATTCAAGGTAATTCAAGCAGTACTTATATAGTAATTAAAAAAACTAAAATAGTATTATAACCACTATTATATATTATTAGTATCCACGCGGACATGACTTGTACAGTACGGTAATAACTGAGTCTACATTTTGTATATATAAGTACCTGGGCCACCGAACTTCGTTCGGAGTGACAATGATGTTTATGCCTGAGCGTGCCAAATTACCGACCATATTTTGCGGGGAATAATGCGAAAGAAAACCGCATGAATTTCAAAAATACCTCGTAAGTGTGCCCGTTATTACTTATTACCAAGAATACTAATTCATATTTTGTATCCTTAAGAAACATATCGAGGGTATTCTGGGAGAACCAAATAAGTAGCGATACTGTTATATTGAGATATACGCATTTAAAGTTTTGGATGATCATAAGTCAACGACGAAGCATAGTTACAGAAAATATTTACTACTTGTACTTAGATACATTATCTAAGATTGTTTTGATATATTAATTTATGCAATAATTACCATAAAAAGCTAAAAAAAGGGAAAAGTTGGCGTGAAGGTATTGCAGTTATTTTGTTTTACCTGAAATACATAAATAAGCTGTAAATCTCTTAAACGCACATTAATCTTTACCTACTATTTTAGGAACTGTTCACTGTCCCGTATTAAATAAGTTGATGTTAAAATTAATTGAAGTAATATTCCAATTAAGGCGGTAGAATAATTTTTTTCTCAGTTATCTGTTTCTACTTGTATTTGTTTTTGGGAATTACTGCATAAAAAACAAATAGACGATATTTATTTTATTTATTGCAAGCTTTCTTAAATTTAAACAGTTTAATCCTGCACAGAAAATAGAAAAAATATTATTAAGAAAAAGTACGAGTAAAGGAAATTACGTAATAGTTTCGTCCCAAGATAACTCATCCTCTTCTTCAGCCTTTTCAGGAACTCTAACCGTCTTCAGATTTTTATACCAAGGCAATTACCGATTACCAATTCTTCTGGTATTATATATTTTTTTAACTAAACTTAGTAAATCATTTTTCTTTTGCTTCGGATATAGGTAATGATTTTTTATACATTTTTTTTAAACTTGTTGGTAATTCATCCTGTTCCTTTCTTTTTGTTCGTGTTGCTCTAGTTTTTCCTTCTTTACCGGTAACGTCAATGTAATTAAAAGTCTCACTCATGTCATAATTGAAGTAAATTCTTTTCTCCCCCTTTACAAACCTCAGACGCTGGATTTTAAGCCAATGATTTTAAGCAATTTCCTTCCTTGTTCTTATCTTTGTTACGAATAACAAGCCAGATCTTTTAAATCATAAAACCCATGGTATTTAAACTCTTTTATTTTGTATGGCTCCTTGACTATCTTCTTCTGTTGAGCAGTATCTGCTTTCCTACGCCTTGCACGTTCGCATATTGAAATCCAGTCTTGCATTGAATATACTGATGTTTCTTTCTTTTGTGATTCAATAGCACTATGCATAGAATTGGCCTCCGTGTCCGGATTCTAAAAATGTTTGCTTTGTAATCTGTAAATCTTCAATATTCTGAACAGCCCACAAAAGAATTGCTGCCACATATTGATTCCTATTTTGACCTGAGCAAGTATCGGAAAAAGGCTTATTTCAGTTACATTTGCTGGAATACAATTAGTTAAATGTTAAATGTATATTAAATCGTTCCAATTCCGCAGCTACTTTTTTACCGTTCATTTAGGACCATAGAAAACAGTACGTATTATTGGACAGACCTGCTTCATAAAAGTGAGATTAAACACCCACAGTTCGAGAATAATACAACAGGCTCACTTTGCAGTGAGGGATCCGAAGTACAGCCTGCAGGTCGAACGAAACCGGAAGAAACTTATGATCTTTGTTAGCTCTTTCCTTGTCTTTTTCCTTTTCTGCATTACAAACATTTTTCCTCTGGATATGCCCTTTTTGAGATCTCGATGAAATAAACACGTGAGCACGCGACGACTTTTAACTGACACTAATATACAAAAACGTTGTCAAGCAAAACAGACTAAGTAAGCCATATATCTCTATAGAAGAGATCAAATTGCATTACTTGTATTATGCAAAACTAAACAAACTCGCTTATTCTGTTCTGCCTGTCAATAAAACATAGAACTCAGTTCATTTTAACACTGAGAAACAAAATATATGATCCGATATTTTGTTTTACCTGATAATATAAAATACAATTATCGATAAGTGTTTTTGTGGGTAAAGAAAGTAAATTGTTTTATTCCATTGTCACTGGAATAAACTTTTTATTTTGTTTTTTAAGAGTCCATATCACTTTTTGCTTTTAAATTTATGGCAAAAAATGCTAGTTATTTTCCTTACCCAGAGGAAAAAACCGTTGTGAAAGCATCGGCAGTTATATGGTTTTTTTTAATAGAGAGTAGTTTTATGGCAGTGGAGTTATCTTTAATAAAATCCCTTTTAAATAAGCATAGTTTTATTTATTTCAATTTACAATTTATTAACACAACCTGACACATTTATTTTTACCGACATCTATCAAAATTATATTCTTATATTTAAATTTTATTGCCAGACAGTATTCTCTATGACACTCCCCCTCACGAAGATCTTGGGGTGTCACCTCAGGTCTGAGTGACCCTTATCATCTTCAGCAGTTTTATTAACCTTGGCTGGGTTAAGGCCTTTGTTAAAAGATCTGCCTCCATATTGTCTGTGTCCTTATAATGGATTGTTATTAGTTTCTTTTGGACACAGTCTCTTATAAAGTGTTCCCTTATGCTTATATGCTTTGATCTTTTTCCAGTCATTAAATTGTTGGCTAACTTCTGTGCAGCTAAATTATCGTTGTAGATTGGTACCGCTTGTGTAGTCACTCCAATATCTTCCAAAAGCTGTTTTAAGTGTAGCGCTTTCTTTGCGGCTTCAGTCATTGCCATATATTCTGCCTCAGCAGTTGACAAAGCTACAACTCGTTGCTTCTTTGTAGCATAACTTATTAGACCACCTCCATACTTGAAGATGTAACCCGTATATGAACGACGGTCAATGGTACATGCTGCCCAATCAGCATCAGCCATTCCTACTAATGCACTTCCTGTTTTACTGTATCTGATGCTAACATTCTTCGTGCCTTTTAAATAACGCAAAACCCTTTTTGCTGCTTGCCAATGCGTTTTTCCAAAACAAGTATTATATTGGCTCAAATAACTTACTGTAAACATAATATCTGGTCTCGTAGCTATAGCCAGATACATCAAAGAACCAATCAATGCCTGGTATGGTATGTTCTCCATTTCTTCTTCTTTTTGTGCTCTTTCCAATTTTAAACCTGTTTCCATCGGCGTTGAAACCGGCTTACATTCGCCCATGTTAAATTTTTCTATTAAGTTTTCAATATAACTTGTCTGTGATAACCTCATTTCTCCCCCTACATGGGTTAATTGTATGCCAAGGCAATGATGTAGCGAACCCATATCTCTTAATTGAAAAGCTTTTTGTGATTTCATTTTGACCTCTTTTAACAAATTTTCTGATTTATATGCCAGTATTAAATCATCCACATAAATGTTTGCTAATAGCTTTTCACTTTCTTTTTCTAAAATATATAAGCAAGGATCTGCTGTAGAGTTCTTAAATCCGATTTCCATCAATTTATTATGTAACTTCAAGAACCATTGTCGTCCTGCTTGTTTCAACCCATAAATGGCTTTATTTAATTTACATATCCCATTATTTTTATATCTATTTATATCTAATAGCATTTCTTTTGTTTTTCTTATTAATTCTTTATCTTTTCCATTTGCTATTATCATTTTTAAGTATTTATCCAAATTTTTCGGCATCTTCATGTAAATTTGTTCGTCTATATCGCCGTTTTTAAACATTTTTAAATGCATTTTTAAATGCAGTACACACATCTAGTTGGGATAACTTCATGTCATTTTCAATCGCATGTGCAATGAGTAGCCTAATAGTACTCATTTTTGCAACAGGTGCAAATGTTTCTGTGTAATTAATACCTTCTTTCTGATTAAATCCACGCGCTACAAGTCGTGCCTTTCGTCTATCTATTTCTCCTAGTGCATTATATTTATATTTCAAAATCATTTTATTATCTATTAAATTTTTGCTTTCGTTCTTGTGTACAACTGTCCAAGTACTGTTTTTAAGATGAGATTTTATCTCGTTTATTATTGCATCTTCCCATTCATCACTGTTTTCATCTATTTCACAGAGGAATGATTACTCAGCATCCATCTCATAATCTTGATGCCATGCTGGTGGTTTTCTCTGTCTTTTTATACTATTAGTCGTTGCTTCGACTTCATTATCTGTACACATGTCATTATTTATTTCGTCTATTTCTGTAGTTGCATCTAGGAATAATTCATCATTGTTAAAATCATGTTCTGACCCATTTCCTTCATTTTCTATTAATTTATCATTGTTTTCTTCATTATGTTCTTCTGGAAAAAATATAACTTCTATTTCCTTTTTATCAATTTTTTTTTGATTTTCTTCTTCTTTCATCTCGTTCTCACAAAACATTTTATCTAATACTTTAACATCTCTGCTGATTATCACCTTGTCTGTTTTCGGGTTGAATATCCGGTACGCCTTATGATTTTCGGAATATCCGATAAAAATTCCAGCTGTTGCTCTGGCTTTAAATTTTCCATTTTTCTTTCCTTTATTTAATACGAATGCTTTAGCCCCAAATATGTGAAAATGCCTCACAGATGGTACTTTCTTTACCCATTTTTCAAACGGAGTCGCATTATCAATGCTGCTGCAAGGACTTCGATTCGCCAAGTAGTTAGCTGTACTAATTGCTTCAGCCCAAAAATCTTCTTTCATATTAGCGTCTATCAGCATGCATCTAGCTTTATCAAGCAATGTTCTATTTTTTCTTTCTGCTAATCCATTTTGTTCTGGCGTATATGGTGCGGAAAGTCTCCTCTTGATACCTTTGTCTTTTAAGTAATTATCAAATCTTTTGTTTATATACTCTGTCCCATTATCACTTTGTAAATATATTATTTTATTTTTTGTAAATCGTTCAGCCTCCTTTTTAAATTCTATAAATTTTGATAGGGCTTCATCTTTAGTTTTCATTGTATATACTCGTGTATATCTCGAATTATCATCTGTGAATGTGGTGAAATATTTTGAACCTCCCTTAGATGGCTGTCTCATGGGACCACATACATCAGTATGTACAATTTCTAATCTATGATTTGTCCGTTGCTCATTTTTACATGTATTAAACGGTAGTTTCTTTGCCTTACCTTTAGCACAGACTACACAATCTCTAACTGTATCAGATTTATTAAATTCTAAGCCTTCCATACTTTTCTTATCAAGAGCTATTCTCATTTGCCTCTCATTAAGGTGTGCTAGTTTTCTATGCCATAGTTGCATTTTATTTGTTCCACAATAGTTGGATTTCTCTTCTAAATTTTCTTTAACGTAGTATAAACCATCTTTCGTTTTCGTTGCTTCTTAAATAAAACTGTTGCACCTTTATCTGTCATTTTTCCTACTGACATAAGATTTGTAGTCAGCGACGGTACATACAAGGCTTCATCTAGTTGTAGACCAGGTATTTCCTTTATGTTCAGTTTCACTGAACCTCGACCTTCAATTTGTGCTGTACAGTTCTCTGAAGCTAACCTTATAGTTTTATAGTCTTCTTTTTCTACATTATGGAATCTTTCCAATTCATGACTCATATGTGACGTGCATCCACTATCAAGACACCATTTTCTGGCTTTTTCTTTATTATTATTAGCATTTAGACATGTTTCTATTGAATAATTCGCACTGCTTTTAGTTTTGTTCACTTTTGACCAGCATTCATTCGCTTTATGCCCCTTTTTATGACATTTGTAGCATTCAGTAATATATTTCTTATTTTTTCTTTGCTGCTTGCTGTACAGTACCTCTTGTTCTGAGTTCCCATCAGTTGGAGTAGCCATATTTTTTCGTGCTTCAGCTTCCTCAATGATTTTTATTTTCAGGCTATCTGGATTTGGTAAATCATCTCTAGATTCTATGGCTATGCGAAAATTTTCAAAAGATTGTGGTAAACTATATAGCAGCATTATACTTAATTAATCTTTATTAATTATTATATCCATGTCGGCTAGTTTATCGACAATATTCATAAATTTGTTTAAATGATCAACTATGCTGTCATTGTCTTTCATTTTTCTTAATATCAATTCTTTTAACAGGGTTGCTTTTCTAGCGGGACCTTTACTATTATATATATTTTCAAGCGTATCCCAGACTTCTTTACTTGTGTGACAATTTTTTACTTGTTTTAGTTCGCTTGGAGATATAATAAGAAATAATTTAGCTAATGCTAACCCATCTTTTTCTATATATTTACTCAGTTCGTCGCCTTCGCTTATTGGCTTCTTAATTTTATTAGAAACATAGTTCCAAAGACCAAGTTTCAACAACAGAGCTTTTGCATGAATTCTCCATGTGTCGTAATTTTCTCTTTTTAATGGCTCTATGTGCACATGATGGCTCATCTTTCTCTTTTTCAATATACGATTTCTCGCGTTTACGCACGGCCCATAACCTTTTATAGAGAGTAGTTTTATGGCAGTGGAGTTATCTTTAATAAAATCCCTTTTAAATAAGCATAGTTTTATTTATTTCAATTTACAATTTATTAACACAACCTGACACATTTATTTTTAGTTTTTACCGACATCTATCAAAATTATATTCTTATATTTAAATTTTATTGCCAGACAGTATTCTCTATGACAGTTTTGCCAGATAAAAAATGCGTCGAAAACTAAGTATTCTATGTTTCTAACTATTTTTTTAAAATTTTTGCACTTATTTGGTTCTGCCAGAATACCCTCGATATTTTGTCCTTCAAATTTTTAAAAAAAAATACGATTTCAGGTATATCTTTACGAACAGTTGTAAGAATTGAAAATGAAGGCAGATTGGCTGAAGCATCATCCAGTAAAATAGTTACACCAGGGAAAAGTAGAAAAACGAGAAAGGATAAAATTGTAATGGACACTTTCGATATTGGTATTCTTAGACGAAAGATACATGAATTTTATGCTTGGAAAAAAGAAATACCAACAGTTCATAAGTTGTTACATGTACTTAAAGAAGAGATAGGATTCACAGGCAGTCGAGAAATTCTCAGACAACATATAAAAATGATTGGTTTTCGATTTAGAAAAAGTAAAAGCAACAGAAAAGTCCTGATAGAACGTAACGATATAACTGCTTGGCGCGCTCGTTATCTGCAGGTATGGGTACATGTACTTTTATAGTCTTTAATATTATTAAAAAAGTTAATAAGGACAAATGGAAACATTTATGAAACTGCCACACCAATTCACAAACCGTTGAATTATTTTATTTCAGACTTTAAAGTATAATGATGAGACAGAAAAACAACAATTATGCTCTGAGAGTGAAGAAAGCAGTGACGATGATGATTCTCACGATGAAGATGAGGAAAGCTTTAGTAGTATGCAACCTCTTGACATAGTTCATGCAGAACATAGTTACAGCAAAAAAATTTAATGTTTTATTTATTTATATTAATTAAATAATTTGTATATTAAGTAATTAAATTTCATTCACTTTTAATTTTATTTTTTTCATTTCCTAAGTTAAATTGAATTACGGAATATAAAGATAGAGTTTTTAAAAGAATTCCCTAAAACTAAGTAGATTTTATTAGCTTGTAACCCTAATTTCACACCAACGCCCTCATGTCACTGTCATGTAAGTGCGAAAAGATCCTTGTAGCACTTGATTAAATGATTTTCGCTGTTAACTGTACACACAGATAGAAACAAAACCTTTAGTGTAATTTTTTTTCGATATGAAATAGTTACTATTTGATGTAAACTGCATTAAATAAATGTATTATAAAATCGAGATCCTCGTTTTGTTTTTTTTTTTCCAAAAATCTCTATATATAATTATTATAATTTATATATGACCATCAGTCGAGGTTTGGGTTTTTGTGTATCATGTGTAAAAGACGTAAGTACTCTATATATACTCTATATATAAATACTATGGTATGATTTTTTGTGTAGATATTTTACATGGATAATTCGTTCATGATATTTTATATTGATCCTTTTTTAAGGCAAATCGCTAAGTACAGTATTTTAAAAGACACTATAATTCTATGGCTGCACTAAAATTGGTATGCTTTTAACCTTCCTATACTCGCGCCAATTTTTGTAACAACTATACTCGCGCACGGTGTTACAGACCGATAGTTCGTACGCCTACAACATATTTTTTTTCTATGAAGCCCAAAAAATATTATTAATAATTCAAAGTTTAGGATATAATGAAACAAAATAGCATGAATAATACTTCATTTATTAATTATTTTACTGACTTTCAGTCTATCACAAATTAGTCTTCGAATTTAAGATTTTTATCTTAAGTTCTAGGAAAACAAAAATAAAATCTGTACTTCTTTTTAAAAACAAAATAAACTTCTAAATAGTAATAAACAACATATCAAAGGACATATTTATCTATGTTTGGCTTAGTTTTGACTCTCACCATAACAATCAGGGCGTACGGTTACAACATGTTCCAAACAAAAGAATTTTTTGCAGGTGGCACATTTGTATCGTGTCTTATGGTTTTTTTTGGATGAGTAGTATCCACAACGACGAATTTTATTATTGTTGCTAAAGACTCGAATCCATCCCAATTTACATATTTCGGCGAGCCTGAGCCTTATGGTTCTCGGCAATTTTTTATAGCTGGTCATTATGGTGTTATTATTTATTAATATTTATTTAATATTTTTGTGGCCACTACAAAGTAATTATCACAGGTTCATACTATAGATGGGCCAACTCGGGTTTTTGCTAACCCGAGTTATCACGAGTTAAAATCATGGTAACTCGAGTTCAACCCGAGTTAAGTAACTCGAGTTAGCATGATAAGTGCTATGAAATTTATACATTCTTTTATTCTATTTCGAGTTGAATACATCTATTATTTTTCAAGTTTTGACATGTTTTGACTATTGATTACTTAAGTGAGTCTTTTTAAACATAGTAAGTACCTAAATAAATGAAAGAAATTATATTATTATTATAATGTATTTTTTTAATGTACAGTGTATTATTTATCGATAAAGAAGTAAATTCCATACAAGTGCGAGTCGGACTCGCCCACCCAGGGTTCCGTACAAATTTGTAGGAAATTTGTTTAAATTTATTTGCAATTTGCTTTTTGTCAAATTTCGTGATCCTAGGTCAACGGGAACTACCATATAGGTTTTCGACCCAAAACCTATAGGCTACTTCCGGTTGACCTAGAATTGTTAATTTTGGTTACAAGCAAGGTCTTACAGCACACTGCACAAGTAAAGGGAAAATTCAAAAAAATAAAAAAGTTCAAAATTAAGGTAAATTTTGGTAATTACAAGTTTTTGCGAAAATCTAAATTTGCCCATATCTTTTTATCGTGTTGACTCAGGACCTTGATTTTATACACCTAATAGCGAGTATAGACCTTAGTATCCGGTATACATTTCAACTTGCTAGGTCCACCCGTTCCTTAGAAAATCGGTGATGACACACGGACAGACGGACAAGAGAGTGATCTTATAAGGATTCCTTTTTTAGTTTTTGAGGTACGGAACCCTAAAAAGCAATAAACATAGCTTAGCTTTTTTGGCTTAGGCTAAAGCAACTTAAATAAAAACACAACTTCTCAAATAATAATTTGATAAATATAAAGTTTAAACATGAAAAAATAACGAATTACGATATTAATATTAAAATATAAATTAGTCTATAGTAATATTAAAATAAAATGTTGGTAGATAGAGATACTACCAGACGGTGGTACCGTACCCGGTCTACATCGGGGTGTCTCCCTAGGTACAATATATATAAATATATATGTAGATAAAAATAGTTATTGCGAGTGTACCTTAAGAGACAGACATTTTTACTATTGCGACCTTTTTAAAGAACTACAATTTTCTATTACCTATCTTTTTTTTGTTTGGTTAGTATTAGATTTCTACGGATGGCTCAGTAGAAACAGTTTTTGTGTTTTTCTGTGGGAACTAACAAGTTTCCTGTAGTAAAATTTAGTTAAAATCGGTTCAGTGCTTTTGGCGTGAAATGCATATAGATATACAAACAAACAGACATGCAGATAATCAGACAAAATTTCAATATAAATTTATTATATGGTACTATTAAGGAAATGTATTTGGTTTAATTTTTTGGGTACTAATCTATTTCGGCGCGGCGTATATTTAACAGGTCATGACAAAGGTTTGTTGAAGAGTTTCCTATAATGTTTTGTATTGACCAAGTTGTTTTTTTTAAATATGATTCTTCAATGTAGTTGTATTACCGGAATATTTATATGATTTAGAACACCATTTAAATTTATACTCTTTACATTGAACTGGTTCTTCAAAAATTACCCAAGCAAGGGATGTTTTTTTTGGCCGGTATTATCGAAATAATCACAATTAAACTTTTTATAAAGAAATCAAACAAGAATTAATAAATTATTAAATTTAAGAACTCGTACTTTAACTAAAATGCAACTTTTTTGGAAACTTGCTACCTACTGTTTCTAATGTCATTTCGTTGGCGCGCAAATATTCGTAAGCATCCGGGTAAAGTCGACTTTTCTCGGAAAGCAAACTTCGTTCGTGTATGAAAATATGTGAAACGAAGTTCCATTAGAAACGAGGTTCGTGTGTCGGTATCTAACCCGAGTTATGATCGGTTGAACTCGGGCTGACTCGACGTGACGCTAACTCGGGTTAACCCGAGTTGGCAAACCGAGTTGTCAGTTGACACCATAGAGTATATTGCTACATATATAAGTTGACACATCTGACATCGCTAGTGGATAGATTTGTTTGGCGCGATATCAAGAAATCATCAGACATTTCGCGAAAAATATTGTATATTATACTTTATTACTGACACAGGTAAACCATAAAAGTTTAAAAGTTATTAAGAAAGAAAATTAAATGGAAATATAATAACCAACTCAGGGGACTGAATCAAATAAACTAGCAATCTTTGAGAAATAATAATAATATAGTAGGTAGGTACTCCTATTTTTTTTATTTGAATGACAGAAATAGAGATATGAAATGGTAATTGAGTCATTTAATATTTCATTTAAGGTTCGTATTATTATTATTTATTGAAATCCTATAAAATGCTCTTACTTATTTTCTTCGATTGTACTAAGTATCCATACATATTATATAAACTACTAGCAGTACCCGCGGCTTCGCTCGCGCTTAAACTACATAAAATCTATAAAAGTAGTTTCATACAAACTTTCATCCACCATTTTACCCCCTTATAGGATGAATTTCGAAAAATGCTAAATAACATATTTAATTTTATTGATCAGTGTTGATACCAAGTTTCAAGTAATTTTGATCATAAATATTTTTTGTATTGTATCATAAAGTGTTTTCCTGTGAGAATTAGGTAAACTCCTGCGGTATAAATTAGCCTATGTTACTCTCCAGCCCTCCAACTATCTCCACACAAAAAATCGCGCCAATCCGTCACTCTGTTTCGACTTTAAAGAAGAACGAACACACTTTCCGATTATGGGAAGGATGGCAGCAATGACAATGAGACCAAGCTTTATTGAATCATCTTTAGCATGATTATTAAAAGTAACATAGTATTTAAATTTGTTACTAAATTATATATATATATATATATATATATATATATATATATATATATATATGTATAATTAATACAGTCGATCTATTCCATACTAACCGTTAAAACAGACCCAAAGAAACGAACCCGAGTGAAGCGAGGGTGAGCCACTAGTACATAATAAATTAAAGATTAAACTTATGTCTTTTATCATTAAATTATAAAGTGAATTTAATAAATTTATTGTATTTTTTATTTCTTTAAGACAATTTTTATATGAAGAAGAACAGGTAACCTGTATTGATTAAATATAAGGAATTGCAAAATGATTAATGGAAATGTGCAAACATCTAGCAATGAGGAGAGCAGCAGGTGAGTGACATTATTGACTTGACTTGAGCAACTATGCCATGATGTAAAACTAAAAACATCTTCTTTAGATAGATTATTTAGATTCTTTAGATAGATTAGACAAGCAACACTCGGATATATCAGGCTTGTAATACTTGAAGTATTCATTATTTATTTGTAATATTATGCACTATCATGGATGAAATCTGTTTAATATAAAGGGGTAGAGAGAAAAACAAATCCCTTAGCTTGGGGGTAGAATTTGTAGTTTATAAAAAATAATTTGGGAAATAAAAATTTTGAGGTGGCCCACCAATATATTTTTAAAATACAAAATTTAAATTTATTAAATGTAAAAAAGTCTTGAAATTGTTTTAGAATCTGTAGAATATCTTCTTTAAAGACAATTAAATTTTTTTTTTCGCTCCACCCTAATATATAATTAAATAGCACATCTTTGATTATGTATATGTCAGGTCATAATCTAGATACAAGTGATGTTCTCCTAACCGATTCCGGCCACGGCGGCCAATCTCAATGAGATTAGCCAACTGCGCAGGAGATATTATAGTGCTCAAGTGTACGCGCAGACACAAGTGCACTCTCTATTCCTATCACTCTCATACTCCGGTGGGACGACCACTCGACACGACCGGTGAGAGTTAAGGCGCAGGACCGACGGCTTTACGTGCTCTCCTAGGCACGGGGGTGAAACAACGCCAACTTCCCAACTCCGGGCTGTTACTGAGACTTACTATACAGGAAGACTCAATAACTAAACTTGGCCCGACCCGGGACTCGAACCCAGGACCTCCGGGTGTGCAGCCGTACATGCTAGCCACTACACCACCGAGGCAGTTACAAGTAATAACTAAATGTCTGTCTGTGATTTTGAAATGTCTCTCCTTTATCAACTTTATATGGTATAACTATTTGATTTGATACAAAACCTTCTTTGGAGTAAATGGTTTTATATTCTTATGGACTTGACAAGACTTTGTGTCTCTGGTGGGGTATAAATATATGTTGCAAGGCACAAGACTTAAATTAGATCATGAAAAAAGGCTTTTCATAGGTTATGGAATACAAGAAGAATAACTTGATAGAATTTAATGACATCTTTATTTGCTGGTATAGGTTGCTTTTGTAATTGATATAGTAGACTTTATAATCAACTACTAGGAATAAAATTCTGTGGAAATTTGTAGATTAAACTCAGCAGGGCTCTTCAAAGCGGGACGGGGAGCCGCATGTGGCATTTCCTCTCATCAATGACAGATAATTCACTCAAACACGCAACAACTAATATTAATGTTGATAGAATTGTAAAAGATAAATTAATTAAGTATAGGTATTTTGCTCTGACGGTTCTCCAAACTGTATAGTGATTTATATAGGCCCGCGAATGTATCTGCTTTGGGCAGCCCTGGATTAAAGAATAGAATAAAATGTGTAATTTGTGAGTTGTTATTGAAAGTAATATCATTATTATTACAGCAGCACACCGTCAAATAATAATGGGGCCAAAAAGACATTGTTCGTCTTGAAGAAAAGAATGTGTAAGTTGTGTGTATGATGCATTTTTTATATTTAATACTAGCCTTTGTTTTACAGCTCCACTTGCACGCTAAGCATAGCGGGATAAAGCTACCCTATGCCTGACCCCATGATACAATCTATGTATGTCTTTGTCTATACTGTCCTCTTATATACAGGATGAATTTTTCAAGTGGGCGTGGATGGCCAAATCGGAAACTATGAGCAATAGTGAAAAGTACTCAAAGGAGCCTCGGGCCCGATTTTGATGAAATCTAAAACTGCATCATTGGATTTTTGAAAAATCAAGTTTCCTAGCCAGGAATCGAACCTGTTGATTTTGAAAAAAAAAAACACTGTATTATTACACTATTCGGTAGTGTCACTAACAAGGAACAAATTCTGGGAAGTAATGTCATATGGTAAACTTAAGGAAAGAGCTCATTTTTAACAAAATATTTTTTTAATTTTATTTGTTACCTACATTATTAAACCTTAACTGACGAATTGTTCAAAATGATGGCCATTGTTTTTAATACATAGCAATATATAAATAATAATATATATAAGAGGACCTTGACCTTAAAGAGGATCTGGCATATGGTAGCTTTATCCTGCAATGCTATTTTAAGACTGTATAGTGTATAATGATTGGCGTCACGCTAAGAACATAATAATTGTTTTTCAAATATACATATGTACACGTAAGACGTATGTATAGTAATCGACGAGGTGGCATCAATGTCTGTGTGCAAGTATATGTATGAATTGAATTTTCGATTTGTTTTTTTTTTTGTATATTTGGGGTTGAAAAGTAAAGAATACACCAACATTTTAGGCCATTTTTATTTTTAATTAAGTTATCACGTGTATAGCATTAAGAATACAAAAGCAGTTAACTTATAACTTTTTTAAATATTGTGTAATACGGTCTTAATTTTCACTTATCTTTTATTTTGTTGGGTCGTTAATAACGAGCATAAGGTCATAGCTAAAAAATACAACATAAATAAATTAAAAATTAAAATCAAATGAATAAAAGTTATTTCAAACGTATGTATGTATATATGTATATATTATGTTGAGTTATTTTGCTGGATGGATCGCCATTATCGTAATAGCACGGTAATATTACATACAGTATTCCATCTTTATACAAACGGTCGGAAATCGAGTTATACCTACCCGCGTCGCGTTCGGTATACACTCGGTAGACAACCGTCCGGGGCTGCCACATCGTATAATTGGAAACGGAAATTGTATAAGGTGGTTATGTTATGTAACTTTTATAATTTTGATACAAAAATAAAAATGTTATTCCTCCCGTAACTTGAAAATCTAAATTTGCCCATATTTTTTTGTCGTGTTGACTCAGGACATTGATTTTTATACACCTAATAATTACTAAAGACCTCAGTATCTGGTATAAATTTCAACTTGCTAGGTCCACCCGTTCCTGAGAAAATCGGTAGTGACACCCGCACAGACAGACGGACAAGAGAGTTCCTTTTTTACTTTTTGGAGGTACGGAACCCTAAATAATATTTTTTTTAATTACAAGACTGTACACGTGGTTGCTTATTACGTTTATCTATTTTTGACGTTTGAAGGTTATCCACGCAGTGTTCAATGAACTTTCCGGGAAACGTTAAAATTTCAATTGCGTATTATTTTATACGGCATATTTGAACAGCCACGAATACAACAAGATACTTTTGATGAAGATATCACAAACATTTATTTTAATTAACAAAAAATAATTATAACGCAAAACTAATACTGTTTACCATAAATTTTGTGTTTTTTCCCAGCAGATGGCATAATCGTCATCTTACTCCCTATAGCCTTTGCTATTTTTTTATCCGACTGCGGCAAGCCAAAGAAGGGTTATGTGTTTGACCAGCATGTGTGTATGTCCGACCCTACGTTCCCTCGTAATTATTAAACGGTTAACCGATTTTGATGATTCATAGATTCGTCTTGATAACTCGAGTGTCATTGGGTATATAGTTATAATAAAAAATCAAAATGGCGGATCATGAATTTTATAATGTAATGTTTTTTTTCAGTTTCATCACCAATTCAGAGGGCAAGTGACATAATAATATCCAGAAATGTAAGTATTTTTAGTTATATGTATGTAATATGCGTGTAAATATAAACTAGCGACTCACCATCGCTGCGCTCGGATTCGTTCCTGCTTACGTTTTAAAGTCTAATATAGGATTCTCAGAGATGACACATTTTCCCGCAGTAAAAGGTATCCTATATGTTGACCGGGATAACGAGCTATCATCATACGAAATTAATCAAAATCCCTTTAGTGGTTTTTCCATGATGCGGTCACAGACAGACAGCCGAAAATTCAAAAAACTATAGATTCGGCCTCTGTATCGATAATAATGTCTATTTTAATTAGATTTTCCAGAAAATATTTAATGTACAGGTTCGGCTTAGTTACAATTTTATTATATGTATAGATTGTAGTTAAAATATTGTTGTTACATAATACATATTATATTCGTTAGTTTCTTTATAGATATGGAAATGGATTTGATATGTGTGAGCTCGTTAAAACATTTAAAAAAAAATGTGACCTCTATAATATAATCATAAATAAGCAGTTCTATATCGTCGCTTTTACCGTCGAATTGTAACATACATACATAATTCAAATAAATCAAATCAAAATACAACAAATATTTTATTCAATACACATTTACAAGCGCCTGAATCGTCAATTTTACATTTTAAATCTAATTTAAATGTCAGTATGTAAGTTTTTAGTGTGTGTTAAGTTTTTTGTTTTTTAATTTTTTAAACTATAACTATCTAAAATCATACATGAATGCATGTATTCAGCCCTTTTTAACGTCTCACTGCTGAGCACTTTCCTGCCTTTAATACGAGGGGGATCAGGCCATAGTCCACCACGCTGGCCAAGTGCGTGTTGTCGAACTGAGAATGTCTTTCGAAAACTTCCTAGGTTCTCTCAGACATGCAGGTTTTCTCACAATATTTTTCTGTACTATAAGATAGTGGTAATCATGTTGGTAATGATTTGCACGTGAAAATGTTAGAGGTGTGAGAGCCGGGATCTGAACCCGCTTCACTCGGCGAGCGAGCGCTTTACCCCTGAGCTACTTACTAGGCTAGTCTGGGTCTAAGCATAGTTGTCCAACTTATTGAATAATTACTGTTAAATAATACGGTGAGTATATATGTATGTATGTATCACGAGATCTGAAAGGCCTAGTTAGGTCACAGTTTGGTGAATTCCACGATTGGACTTCGAAATACGTGTCAAGTGGCCAAACGTAAAGGTACATAGTGTAAAGAATTATTGTTTTGGAGTATATTCTATTCACAATACGTAACAGTCATTGTTTTTCAAACTATTATAGATACAGATTTCGCTTGGTTATTATTTATTATATTGTTGCATAGTGGAGAGTGTGTAACGTCATTACACCAAAAATAATCATTAAAAAGACACGTCTGAAGCATGCTTTATACATCCCAAGACAGTTGTGAAAATATTTCCATAGAGGCATCGAAATTACTAGAAGTTTCGAGATTCACACGAGAACAATTGATCGTAAATTGCCGTGTGTAAGATTAAGAGAGGAAGAAAACATTCGAGAAAGGAATCAAAATTACTACAAGTTTTGAAATTCATATAAGAACAGGTATTCGTAAATTGCCGTGTGTGAGATTGAGAGAGGAATAAAACATTCGAAATTATATTCTATTCCTTTATTTTACTAACAATATGGTTCATATTGCGAATAAAAAAGATGTTTAAATCTGACCAATCAGTGACCGTATCACCATTTAACGGCTTTTTATTGAATTATCTAGTGAAATTGTCAAAATATCAATGAATCAGAATATCACTAAATGTGCTCAGGGAAATTATAATATACCTAAAATATTCAGTGATATTGTAATAAAAGAAGACGATCGACTATTAATTTCACTAGTAAAATTATAATTTAACGGATCTTACAATTTCCCTACGACATATTATATAGGCTGTATAATGTACATACATATGTACATATATATCTACATATATATAAGGCTGGTTGCGTGTATTTAAACTAATAAATTTAAATTATCTGATACTGGCAACGCACGCTTGTTTCACTCGGGTTCATCCCTTGGTAAAATAATAATGACTATCACACTCGTGCCTTTCCACGCTTAAACTTTGGAAAAAAACCTGACACCAACTTTCATCGAGTATTTCCTTACTATCACTTTAAATTATATATAATGTAAATGCATTTCCCAATATTAAAAAAAATAATCTTATGAGGTTTTAAGTTTGCACCATTTTTACTTTGAGATTTAGCGATTAACCAGTGAGTGTTATTTCAAACAAACGTAGTTATATTTTATATAGATAACTTAATTTCAGATATCAGATAGCAAGGAACCCGTGGAAAATACTGAAATAATAAGGCTAAGGCCTGTTGCGAATACAAATATAGTGGATAGCACAATACAGCAAGATCCAGAAACTAATTGTTCTAGTGCCAACGACGAAATTCTATCGAGCTTCAATCATTTCTCCGCCGAAATTTCTAGAATATCTGAACACCGAGTGATAAAAGAGGATGTGGTATGTTTATTACCCGATTTTATTTTAGGGCTGTCGCCTGTGATGTAACAGTTCAGATTCGACCATTACAAAAGTGCATGAGAAGAACTGAGCATTACAGTGCGCAACCTATAATGATACCATTTTTAACATCGTGATACAATGTGTAACGCATTAATATTTGTTTGATTGTTTGTTCGTTTCTTCGCGAGCGAAGCCGCAGGTTCTGCTAGTAATAAATATAGAAATAAAGTACATTTAGTCTTCAAAGTTAATAAATCTTTTATGGGTTGGCTCTTTGTTAAGCGTGTCTATTGAGAACGGCTGATTTGGCACAAAAACGGCAGATTTGCCACTTTTTTTAATTGGAATGTCAGTGGTATTCCGAAAAACTTTCGGGAAAACTTGAAATGTTGAATTAATGTTAGTATTAAAACAGCTCAGAAGGGTTTTCCAGGAAGACAAATATTTGGCAATTAACAATTATATTTCTCGCTTTTTCTGTATACTCATTTTACATTTATATTTTAATTTGCCTAACTCATATTCCGAATCACCGACTGTCCACTTGACATATCAAAAATCTATATTCAAAATCTACGAACTGGCACATAAAATAACTGAATGTTACAATATGGAATAGATAGTCGATCCCTTGGTCTGTGAAAAACAAAAACAAATCTATCCCACGGGAGCCGTACATTTATCCGGGATGAGAAGTAGTCTATGTGCTATTTAAATACTATAATCTATCTCTGTGCCAAATTTCATCCAGATTCGTTCAGCCGTTCTGGTGTGATTGAGTAACAAACATCCATCTATCCAAACTTTCGCATTTATAATATTAATTGGATGACACAAATGATTTTCTAATCAAAATTTTATGGAAATTTGGGCAGGCAATAAAAAAAGTTTGTCGGAACAGTTAGTATAATACAGAATTCCTTAAAATATTTTAGATTCAGCTTTTCAAGATTTTAAATAAAAAGTAAAATACAAAATCGGCTAAGATATACGCTCATATTTAATATATTAAGGTTTAAATTTATCAATAATAATAATAATTTCATTTACATTTTTTTTTTTTAAATGGCTTATAGTACATAAATTTTTCTAACTTAAAATCATTTCTAGGACGTAAGTCAACTGTCAAATAATGAAATTGACGAGTGTGGAACAATGTACAGCGACTTATTAGAGACAATAAGTGACGTTTTTCTTAATTTGCCAAAGCATTTAATAAAAACACAGCCAGGATTCAATGACTCGATATACACAAAAAGCAAAGCGGTTGTGGAAAAATTGAAAAAAATAACGAAATATCGTACCATAAAATTAAATGCCCAACATAATGGTCCAAGGACGATTTATTCAGAGCCTTCAGTCGAAAGGTCTGTTTTATTAGAGAACTCTTTACCATCATCTTCTGGCTCAGTGATAAATATATGTTCAAGCATTGAATCGATTAGCGAAAATCAAAATGAAAGTTCAATAAAGAAAAAAAATAAAAGCAGTTTCGTTCCCAAAACGAGAAAAAGTACAAGTCTTGACAATTCCAAAGACGAGCAGTCCACATCAAGCACTTTGGATAGAGTTAGAGCTGCATCAGGAAAGTTACAGCCAGTACAAAATGAGAAACCAAAACATATGCCTCCACCGGCTAGCTCTGTCCCATTTCAACCTCCTTTAGGTGATACACCCTTTTGTCCCTCATCTGAAAACAGTGTACCAACATCGAAAGACAAATTTGAATTAGACAATGTAGATTGGGACGATGATATACAAGATTTCAATGATGCTGTAGACATACCAGTAGACGAAGCAGGTTGGCCAATATACAGACCCGAAGACTTTGAAATGCAAGACGAAAGAGTAGATGAGAGTGATACCAATCAAAGACATGAAGGCGGTGAGTTTTTTTTATTTCTTTTTTATATTTAAAATAGAATAGAATTTTTAGTTTTATTACAATTATTAAAAAACTTATATTTGTCGGAGACGAGCCATAATCACAACTAATCGGAACGCGAGCGCCACCTTTTTGGGCTCGACAAAGTCTACGTCGTGACACTCGACCGGGCTCGGCTGAGTTACGCTTGGTCGGTCGCACAGTGAACACTAGTAGAAGCTGTCTTGCGTTCCGTATTGTCTATACGTGGTAATAGTGAAGTGGTATATGGTGGTATAGTGAAGTGCCGTGTAACTATGTACAAAGTGATTATTGTTAATTTGAAATACAACTTTGATTGCATCGACTTTTATTTGAACCAACACTTCCCATATAACGCCCACTGTATAAGTCATGATAAAATAATGGAAAATAATAGAGAAAATTAATGCTGCTTCGATATATTTATATCAATACAATCGACATACCCTCACTTCGCTCAGATGCGTCATTAGGTGCTTATCAGAAGCCTATGTGCTACTCCAGGTCATAGTTTATCTGTATGCTAAATATCCAAATCCGTCTAGCTGTTTTAGCGTAAAGGAGTAACAAACAAATGCACTCACACACACATAAAAACTTTCGCATGTATAAAGTAGTGTGTTATGTCACTTTTAGATCGTTTCGACAATGAAAACTATCCTCATTCGGTGGTTTTGAGGGAAACTATCAAAGAGACTTTTGGATTAAGTGAATTCAGACCAAGTCAACTCAGGATTATCAACGCCACTCTCCTAAGATACGACTGCTTCGTCATCATGCCAACGGGCGCCGGTGAGTCCCTTATAATATATATACATATAATAAAACTGTACAGGTCGAATGTCTGTACATAGAAAAAAAATGCTAAAAACCGAGTCAGGGAAATGTAAGAAGAGAAATAGAACAAATCCAGCATTTTTCAATTTTTTTGTTTGTCGTTTGTACGGGCTAATTAATCTCCGGACCTGTTGGGCCGATTTAAATGAAATTTTGCATAATGGTACCTTACATCCCCGGTAACATTTTAGATACTTTTCATCCCGCAAAATTAAAGTGTTCCCGTGGGATATTTAAAAAACTATAGTAACTTATACAGCTCAGTACACAACAACTTATGCAGCTAATTTAGTAAAATTTGGCATGATGATACCTTACATTGCGGTCAAACAACAGGTTAAATTAATCCCGGAAAAATGAACGTGGATTTCCGTGCATGTCCTTACATTGCGGTCAAACAACAGGTTAAATTAATTCCGGAAAAATGAACGTGGATTTCCGTGGGATAGATCTGTTTGTGCTTTCGTGTGGCGAACCCGAGTGAAGCGAGAGTGAGCCGCTAGTTACAAATTAAAAAATACTTCCTAAAAAATATTCCGTAACAACCCAAAAATAATGTTTATATGTTTGTGAAGCTAAGAATTTTTCTCCTCTTTGTTTCATTGATAACTTTTTTCAGGTAAATCCCTATGCTACCAGCTGCCGGCCGTGCTCACTCCCGGCGTGACCATCGTCGTATCGCCTCTGATATCGCTAATATTAGACCAAGTCAACAAACTGCTAACACTAGATGTGAGTATGAACTATGTTTAATTGGACTGTCATTATAACTATCTATACTTATAATAAAATTTTAACTAAGCCGAACCTGTACATTAAATATTTTTTGGTAAATCTTATTGAAATAAACATTATTATCGATACACAGACCGAATCTATAGTTTTTTGAATTTTTGTGCCTGTTGTTACCGCATCACAGAAAAACTACTGGAGGAATTTTGATGAAATTTGGTATGGTGATAGTTGGTTATCCGGGTCAACATATAGGATACTTTTTACCGCGAGAAAATGTCTTATTTCTGAGAAAAAATACAAAAACTGCAATGTAAAAGTACTACTACAAAGGATACTAATATATAAAACCTAAGAAATTGGTTTTTGGTCATCTGAACGCGGGTGGATCCTCGTATTGAAGGGTGCGAACCCCCAGCGGTGGGACGTCAAACAGGACTGAATACAATACATACATACATGTGTCCCAGCTAACTAGTTGAATCAGCCGTTTGATTAGCGACCTAGCTTTACGGCGCCGTTTAATTAAAAGGCCGAAAAAATATCCAGCCAATGCGTCTAATACAACATTTAATGAACGGGCTGGCAGATGCTTAAGCCGTTCATATAATAGGGTAATCGTGAGACGAAAATGAAACATTTAATATTGAAAATTGTTTATTTATGTAGTTAGCGGCGACAAATATATTATATAAGTATATAATTAAACATTATCATATTATGTACATGTACCTTTATTATATACTAGCGACTCACCGTTCAGCGCTCAAGTTCGTCCCTAGGTACGTTTTACGCTTAGTATAGAATAGATTTTTTTTTTCAAAATTTGTATCTGTCTGTCTATTTGTTTCGGCTAAGTCCCGAAACGGCTGGACTGATTTTGTCCGGACCTTTAGAGGCAGATGTTATAAGGAGTAACTTTGCTAATTTTATTGTAGAAAAAGAATGAAGTTTTCGCTCAAAAAAAAAAACATACCTAGGGACGCACTCGAGCGAAGTGAGAAGGGTAAGTTGCTAGTGAAACCTAAATTCGGTAAAAACCGCTTTCCGGGCTTTATCCGGTTAAAGAACGTAACCGGAACCTTGATCCGAAAGTCTTTCGATTTGAGGTCAGTGACCAAAACCGGTTTAAAAATTGAACTGGTTTCTGAACCCTGGGACTTGCAAAGTTAACTATAATATAGTATTTATCTATCTATCTATATTGATTTTGATAACACGTTTCGCTCAGTTTGTAGTGACCCTACATGCTGTGCCAGAGGTCACGGGTTAATGTCCTGCTGGGGGCATTCAGTTGATCACGAATGATGAGCACGAATGTTTGTACTCCAGTCACGGGTGTTTATATTTATAATATGTATGTATTTAAAGTTATATATGTATCAACTATCTGGTATCCATAACGCAAGCCTCGTAGCTTACGATGGAACTAGATGGTGCTGTGTGTTAATGTCCTAACATATTTATTTATTTATTATTTATAGATTGCAGCAGCACATTTATCGGGGGACTTAACAAACGTTCAAATGAATGAAGTTTTCCTGAAGTTAACCATGGCAGAGCCAGCGATCAAATTGTTATATGTTACTCCTGAGAAGTTAAGCAACTCTAACAGATTGCAAGACACTTTGGCATCACTTTATCAGCGCGGTAAGATCGGCAGGTGAGTTAATGTATACTAATATTATAAAGAGGCAGAGTTTGTTTGTTTGAACGCGCTAACCTCAGGAATTACTAATCCGATTTGAAAAATTCTTTTAGCATTAGATAGCCTCTTAATTGAGGAAGTCTTATATATCATCATAGTACTACCCAAGAGAACGGAGGAGTAATTATAAATGTCAACAAATAGCGCGGAATTTCATACATTATTGTAGAACTGATCAAACAAATTTAATGTAGTGAAACCGCGGGACACTGCTAGTAATAAATATATTCATAATAATAAAATCATTTTTTTCGTATATTAGTGGCCGTTCATAAAACGCGTCTACCTCCCTCGTCTTAATGGGGCGTCGTGGATCGCTTACGCATTCAACTACGACGCCCCGACGGCAGGTCTGCCGAAGCAGACCACTACAACCATGGGGTTGCTCCAAGGTCCACTCTGCTATCAGAGAAGTACCAGGAGCAACCCGCATGGCACACCACCCACCGAGGTGGGCTGCCAGTGCACTTCTTGGCTTCGTGCCTGGCTGGATTGCCAGACGCTAATGAGCCCTCCAACCACGACAAGGTGAACGCACGTTGGGGGGACGAATTGCCATCCTTTTCCATTTTTAAAATGACATTTTTGAATTTGGAACACATAACAAGGTTCGTGGTGGACGAGGCGCATTGCGTGTCGCAGTGGGGCCACGACTTCCGGCCGGACTACAAGCGGCTGAGCGCACTGCGAGAGAACTACCGCGACGTGCCGCTGATGGCGCTCACGGCCACCGCGCCGCCGCGCGTTCGCAATGACATCGTGCGCCAGCTGGGGGTTGGTACACACACACATACACACATACGCACACACACACACACACACACACACACACACACACACACATACGCAATAGATGGCGCTACGATCCATGTGAATCGCGCTGTGGTTTGATTCAGTGGAATAGTATATAGGCAATTTTTTTTTCAACTGTGAAGCACAGGAATATATATTGTTTATTACTTCAAGTGGATATCCCTAGGCATTTTTGGGACACACGCACCCACGCACACATGTATGTATAATGTCAATACATATACAGTATATATATACACATTCAGTCACGAACCTAAATATATGACCGTCAAGTCCAGTGGTGAAGGGTGAAATTTTAGCAGAGATCAGACGAGCAGACGTTCCAAAAATATACAATTTTTATATATTAATGCAAAAAGAAATAGTCTTACATTTAATTTTTTTAATATATATATATATATATATATTTATATATATATATATATATATATATATATATATATATATATATATATATATAGAACACGTCTTGTATGAAACCTTCGCCACTGCCGTCGACAGATAATTTGTTACCTCTTCGGTGTCACATGTTTTAGCTGTCATTATGAGAATAGATGATGATGTGATGCTTTGCTTTGATGACCGACAGCTTTCCGTGCTCCGAGGCACGGGGGTGAAATACCGCCAACTTCCCAATTCCGAGCTGTTACTGAGGCTTACTATACAGAAAGACTCAATAACTGAATTTGGCCCGACCCGGGACTCGAACCTAGGACCTCCGGGTGTGCAGCCGTACATGCTAGCCACTACACCACCGAGGCAGTAGTATATATCTGCTCGTGCCTAATATATATATATATATATATATATATATATATATATATATATATATATATATATACGTATACGGGCGTACTTATATATATATATATATATATATATATATATATATATATATATATAAGTACGCCCGTATACGTGCGCTCATCACCTATAAATGTTTTTTGTCAACTACGAATTTTCAAAAAATGCAACATTTTCAGTTTTCTAAGGAAATTAAGACTTCTGGCAAATCCTAAATTATAATATTTTAATAATAATCATATAATAAGTAATAATTGATCAGACATGAAGTAAAAAAAAAATGTAAATTGAGGACATCTTCCTTATTTGAAGTCGGCTTAAAACTTATTTCTGATTAGTAATTTAAAATTTATTTTACGCAGATGGAAAGATGCGAGTGGTTTTTAACCAGCTTCAACCGGCCGAACCTATTTTATATGATTTTGGAAAAGAAATCTAAAAGTGTCAACCAGGACGTTGTAAACGTCATACGCACTAAATATGCAGGGTATGTAATGACATATTTATTGTTTGAGATAGATAGATGGATGCTAAAGTCTCCCATATTGATTTTATTATTTTTATATAGTCTACTAGCGAGTCGCCCTTGCTTCGCTCGAATTTCCCATACAAACTTTCATCCCCATTTTCACCCTCTTAAGGGGTATGTCCTTCCCAGGGTCATCAGCGTACAAACAGACAAACAAACAAAAAATCTTTCCTCTTTATAATATTAGTATACTCTTTGATGACACTCGCGTAATCAAGACGTATCTAACGACGTATGAATCAATAAAATTGGTTATGCCATTTAGTAATTACGAGGACGTCATACATATCTGTACATACATACAGGACAGACACACACCCCTCTTTTAGGCTTCGCCGCAGTCGGGAAATAAAAGTCGCCAGTTGCATTGATTGTAGGTTTGTCCGGGCTAATCTCAGAAACTATTTCATTGTTTTGTAAATCGCTCTTACCAATATAAGGAGGCATTATCTAGGTAGGAAGGTTATAATGTATGATCTTATTGCAAAAATAATTACACGTTGTGATAGTGTTTGGAAATTAAGTCGGAAAATCGTCCTTTCTGGGAGTTTCTCTAATATAAAATAAGCAATTTTTGTATATATGTATATAAATTTATTTCGTGTATCTCGGAATTGGTCATAGCTATTCTTAGAAGCTGGATCACCCAGGTACTACTAAAAATGCGGAATAGAGAATCTAGGGACGCCATATTGATGATTCTCAATACGATAAAAATAGACTTTTGGAAGCTATGGGTAACTCAAGGAAACTTGGAACGTGCTCAAAGATATCACTCATCTACAGCCACAAAGTATTCCTCCCAATGAGCTTTTAACACTCACCTCAAATCCCCAAACATCTGTCAACTATGTCAATAAGTACTTTTCAAAAATAGGTAGTAAACTAGCTATTCCTCTTTTGGCGAAAAGTCAAAAGTCAAACTCATCCTTGCTCCAAAGCGCCAACACTGCCCAACCTTGTAACTCAATGGTTTTGTTTGATACCGACGAGCAGGAATTAGACGCTGTAATATCAGGGCTTAAGAATAATTGTGCCACTGGTTGGGATGGTATCCCAGTCAGTGTTATAAAGTCTATCAAGCACTTAATTATTCCATGCCTAAAACACATCTGTAACATATCTATCTCACAGGGCATTTTTCCACAAGCATTTAAGAAAGCTATAATTCATCCAATATACAAAAATGGTGATAAGGACAAAATCTCCAATTATAGACCTATCTCTACTGACTATTTTATCTAAAATACTTGAAAAACTCATTAACAAACGTCTAATAAATTATCTTGATAAGTATAGCATTATTTCTGAAAAACAGTTTGGATTTAGAAAGGGGATTTCCACGGAAGATGCCATTATCACTTTAGTGAACAATATAGTTGACAACATAGAAGCTAAAAATAAAACTATAGCAATCTTCATTGATCTTAAAGAAGCCTTCGATACAGTTTCTATTCTTGTTCTTTTGGGAAGGTTGGAGAGTGTTGGCGTTAGAGGCAACGTATTGAATCTATTCAAAGATTACCTATCACACCGAACACAAAGAGTGAAAATTGGTGCAAATGTTAGCAAAGACGAGTTCATAAGCTACGGTGTTCCGCAGGGACGCGTGCTCGGGCCTACTCTTTTCCTGATTTATATAAATACTCTTTGTAATTTGTCACTACCAAAGACAAAAATTGTAACATACGCAGATGATACAGTTTTACTTACTTACGGAAAGGACTGGGCAAGTACGCGCCTTCATGCTGAACTCGCGGTCAGTATTGTAAATGAATGGCTTACAAAGAACTTGCTAACATTGAACTTGTTGAAAACTAACTTCATCACCTTCTCTGCTTGTAAAAGTGATCAGCCGTCAGATCGATTTCACTTAAAAATACATAACGATCTGAATCACCAATCAGACCGCCTATGCCCAGATATTACTCGTGTCTCAGAGATTAAATATCTAGGAGTAACTTTAGATAACTTACTTACCTGGAAGAAACACATCCATGTTCTAGTGCAAAGAGTGAGAAAGATGATGTATGTCTTTAAGAATATAGCATCCGTTGCAGATAAAGAAACATTAATGACCACTTACTTCGGATTAATTCAACCACTACTATCCTATGCCATCTGTACCTGGGGTGGTACGCATGGTACACACCTGCTTCTTTTAGAAAGTGCACAAAGAGCCATTCTTAAACGCATAATTCGTAAGAATTTTACATATCCAATTAGTCTTGTCTACAAGGAATGCTCCGTTATAACAATCAGACAGCTCTATATTTTAAGCCTGTCTCTGCGATGTCATGCAACAAGTTTCTCTGTTAGCCAACAACCGCAAAAACGTACTGTAAGAAATGTTTGTGTAGCGAAAAAATCTAGAACTGCCCTTGCTAGAAGACAAAATAGTATAATGGGAGCTCATTTATATAATAAAATAAATAAAATAATTAATATCAGTTGCAAGCCCCGTCCCAGAGTAAAAACCATTCTTACCTCATGGCTTAAGAGTCTTACCTATGATGAAACAGAAGACCTGTTAAAATCCCTAACTTAAAACGGATTGTTTAATACATACTCACACTCACGCTCACACATACGCACACACACACACATACACACACACACACACACACATACATTACACTTATACACATATCATTAGAATTATTGTTAATATTTTTAATTATCCTTAATAGTTTTAATTTATAATGCATGCTATTTTACTCATACACTGTGAATTATGTTGGTGTTAATTATACATATTGTTCAACATGGAAGGCAAGACGCTCGTAATACAAGTTCACTTAGTACGAGTGTCTTAGATTTGTATAAATGATATTTTGTATTTGATAAATGAATAAATAAATAAATAAATTTATACAGATTTTATTATAATAATTTTATTAATCCTTACAGAAAATCGGGCATTGTGTATTGTCTGTCACGTAAGGAGTGCGAGACGATGGCGGATGACTTGCGAAGGGCAGGAGTGAAGGCGGCCGCGTACCACGCCGGCCTCGTCGACAGTAAACGCAAGAAAGTGCAGTTGGGTTGGATAGGCGATGAGTACGCTGTGGTATGTGGAGCATATATTTTTAGGGTTGCATACTTCAAAAGGAAAAACTAACCCTCATAGGATCAGTTCGTGGTTTGTCTAATTGCCTGTCTGTCTGACGAGACCGCTTTTGGAACGCATGGAGGTACCAAGTTGCAATTAATATCATACACTCAGGTCTGCAATTCCTTGGAGCTGTGGAAAAATCAAACTTCTAAGTCAACGCAGTCAAAAGATACGGACGTTTATGTTCGCATGTTTTAACACTCGCAAGGGAATTAAAATCTTTAACGTGCTCGTCGTTCCCGTTGATCTAGAATCTAGAAATTTGGCTAGAAGCAATGTCTTACAGCACAAGTGAAAGGAAAAATCTGAAAATCGTAAAGTAGTTACATCATAACAAACATTTTTTTTTTGCGTTTGTAAAGTTATTTTAATGTTTCGTGCGACGGAACCTGCGGTGTGCGAGTCCGACTCGTACTTGTTCATTTTTTTTAATATTAGCTCTTTTTAAGCACAAAAAAGAATTATGAATATCAATTTGATTATTTGAAAGTCGATAAAAATAATATCTATATATCTATATATTTGTCCATTTTTCGATTGGAGCTATCTTGCTACTTCTATATATTCTTATCTATCTATCTGTCCGTTTATCTATATGTATGTATATTGTATATTAGGGTGGAGCAAAAATAAGGTTGTTTTTTTCTTAGCTTAGGAGGTATAATTTGTGCTATCTGTGCCTAGCTGTCTGTGCCTATAATATTTTTTTTCGATTGATCATGTTTAAAAACATTCAAGAATTGACGAATACAGTAATTTTCTACCCAACTTTCATTGTAATATTGCATTATTGCAATTTGCATAAAAAAAAGTTTAAAAAATAACATGTTACCTGTTTTTTGTATTACTGTGAAAGTTGAGTAGAAAATCATTATATATGTCAATTCTTGAATTTTTTTAAAGATGTTTTCATGAAAAAAATGTTATTATTATTATGTATCGCAGATATGTGCGACGATAGCGTTCGGTATGGGCATAGACAAGGCGGATGTCCGGTTTGTCATACACCACAGCCTGCCCAAGTCGGTGGAGGGCTATTACCAGGAGACGGGGCGCGCCGGCCGCGACGGCGCACGGGCGGACTGCCTTCTCTACTACAACTATGGGGATATCAAGAGATATTACAATTTGATGGATAGTGAGTGTTTGTTCTTTTGTAGAATGTCACCACTACTGTGGTTACGTGGTGACTCGCCGTAAATAATTTGTTGGGCTAGTCTAGTGGCTAGCGTCCCCCCCAACGTGCGTTCACCTTGTCGTGGTGGGGGGGCTCAGTAGTGCCCGGCAATACAGCCGGGCGCGAAGCTAAGAAACGCACAGGGAGGTTGCCCACTTCGGTGTGTGGTGGGAGGTGGCCCTCTTCGAAGGGTGGTGTACCATGCGGGTTGCCCCTGGTACTTCTCTGATAGCAGAGTGGACCTTGGAACAACCCCATGGTTGTGGTGGTCTGCTTCGGCAGACCTGCCGTCGGGGCGTCGTAGTTGAATGCGTAAGCGATCCTGCGACGCCCCATTAAGACGGGAGAAGGTTTTGTTGAGTTTTAGTGGGTAGTACTGGCTATATTGCGCCGGTGAGTCCCACACGTGCGTAAATACATTTCCCAACGTCTAGCGTGTGGGGCTGAATGGTGAGATTCTAGGAGTGAGACTTAGGTTGGACCGAAATACTCGTAATTGTTTCTTTTTGTCAAGAAATACTCAGTAACTTAACATGACCTGACCCGGGACTCGAACCCAGGATCTCCAGATCTGTTAGTGAGTCACTAGTAGTTAGTGATTAGTCTTATGTCTGGGAAAACCAAAACGCGTGTTTTCGAGTTTTCATGCAGTTTTTTTCCCATTATTCCAGGCAAAATATGTTCGCTAATTTCGCACGCTAGGACATAAGCATCGTGGTCAAACGGCCAAGGTGCAAGATTGACAAACACAGGTGTCCGCGTTCGAATCTTTGTCGGATACAAAGTTTTTACGTTTTTTTTTTGTATTCTTTCAAGTTTTTTGTTTTTTTATTAAAAAAAAAATTGTACTCTTGGCCAAAAACTCCGAACGAAGCTCGGTCGCCCAAGTAGTATATACATAGGTATGATGAGTTGTGGGTTGTATTATAACGTGTTTTCCCGTAGGAATGAAATGATGTCCCGCGGTAATACGTAGCCTACGCCATTCTCCAGCCCTTCAACTATCTTCAGATAAAAATCACGACAAAGCTACTCTGTTTCAACGTGAAAAAAGGGCAAACAAACAAAAACACACACATTAACATTTATAATATTAGTATGGATTCCTATTATATGTATGGTCATATATCAGACCTTTATATCTCATGCCGTTTGGTAAAGTGTGAGTCGTTATTATAGATGACCCCAACACAAGGAATGGTTCAGAAGCCCGTACTGTTCACGAAGACAATCTATCGCATATGAAGTCTATATGTGAGAATCCAACTGGGTGTCGAAGAGTTGAAGTTCTGGCATATTTGGGTGAAGAGTTCCAGAAGGAAAAGTGTGGAGAAGGTGGCGCTCCCTGTGACAATTGTACCAAAACTACTGAATATCAAGTAAGTTTCTATTGTATTGTAGGGAATTTTCTATCTATACATATAATAAAATTGTAACTAAGCCGAATCTGTACATTAAATATTTTTTTGGAAAATCTTATTGAAATAGACATTATTAGACAAAATTTTTAAAAACTATAGATTTGGCCTCTGTATCGATCTTTTACCGAAGAAAAATTTTTCATTTCTGAGAAAAAATACAAAAACTCAAAACTGCAATGTAATAGTATGCTAATATGTAAAACCTAAGAATTTGGTTTTTGGTCATCTGAACGCGAGCGGAGCCGCGGGCAATGCTAGTAATTAATAAAACCTATAACAAAATGAGTTTAGTTAATAGAATCAATTTATTATAAGCTTTTACTTAGTTTCACCCGTCCGGGTCTGATCTATATCTACTAAGATATATATATATATATATATATATATATATATATATATATATGTATATATATATATATAATGTACGTATTGTCAGTCCATAGATGTAACAGAGGAATGTGTGGGACTGGCCCGCTTCATGAACAGCTTCCCGTCGCGCTACACTCTGCTACATCTCGCGGCGGCTTTACGCGGCTCCAATCAAAAACGCATTTCCGCCTTACAGAACACGCCTATACACGGACGGTATGTGTACGTCCCACTGCTGGGCGTGGGCCTACCCTCGATATGGGGATCAGACCATAGTCCACGCTGGCCAATTGTGGCCCGGTCTGACCATATGTTTCGAAAACTTGCTATGTTCTCTCAGACGTGCAGGTTTCTCCACGATCTTTCACGATAAGACAAGTGGTTATCGTGTTGGAGATCATTCGCACATGAATATATCAGAGGTGCGAAACTCGGGAGTTGAACACGCTTCACTCGGTTTCCCAGCGAGCTCGTTACCACTGGGCTACTACTGCCTCACAAACATATGTATATGTTTTAATAAGCTTTGGTCTAGTGGCTAGCATGTTAGATAACACATGAGGAGGTCCTGGGTTCGAGCCCCGATTCGGGCCGAGGTTATTTAAGTAAATCTCAGTAACAGCCCGGAGTTGGGTTTTATGGTTAGTCAATACTTTATAGGTTATTATTCAGAAATAAGGCTAATGTATCACTCAGTAAGATTTTATCTCTGTGTTGGATCTTAATTCCTTACCCGCCTTTTTATGACCAGACAGACCTTTGAACCTATGTAATTCTATCCCACGGGAACCGTACATTTTTCCGGGATAAAAATAGTCCTATATGCTATTCCAGACTAATCTATCTCTGTGAAAAATTTCATCCACATCCGTTATGCCATTCTGGCGTGATTGAATAACAAACGTCCATACATACAAACATCTCAACTTCCACAGTTATAAAATTAGTAAGATATACAGATAAGATGATTTGTTGTGGATTGCATTATAACGTGTTTTCCCGCGGGAATGAGATAACTCCAGCGGTAAAATTTAGCCTATGTCACTATCCAGCCGTCCAATTATGTCCACACAAATAAATTATGCCAATCCGTCACACTGTTTCGACGTGAAAGAAGAACAATCAAACAAACACACTTTCACATTTATAATATTAAGTATGGATTGGTCAAACGAGCAAGCTCGCATACAAAACTGGTTCTTTCTTCAAAACGGCTGGACCGGTTTGATGATTCTTTTTTGTTTTAGTAGGATGGTTTAGATTCACAACCGGGCCCAGTAGATGGCTTTGCAGACGGTTTCTAAGATTTTTTTAATTTTATAGCTGATAGCCGATAGGTGTTGCTGCCAGACCGTTTACTTTTCGTTTAGATGGTATAATTGATATGGACAATAATACAAATAATATAAGCCAATTATACTAAAAATATCATCAAAATCCGCCCAGCCGTTTAGGAGAAAATTAAAACTAATCTATACTAATATTATAAAGAGGTAAAGTTTGTGAATTGTGAGTTTGTGACGTTGTAGGGGGTAATCTCTGGATATACTGAACCGATTTAGATGAAATTTGGCAAGAAGATAGTTTGAGACCTTGGGAAGGACATCATCCCTTAAGGGGGTGAAAATGGAGATGAAAGTTTGTGTGGGGAATTAAGCTAGGGATGAACCCGAGCAAAGCGAGGGTGAGTCGCTAGTTGCAGTATAAAAGTGGGGGAGATTGATGCATAACTAAAATATCTTCACAGGTGGAAGAAGTGGCCCGCCGCTGATGTGACGAGACTCTTGAGAAAAATGGTGGCCGATAAGTACTTGCGCGAGTTCACTGCGCCATCGTCCAACGACTTCGTCTACATGTATGTGACGATTGGGCCCAATTACGAGAAGTGAGTTTTTATTTTGACACACACACACATATATACATACCTGTACAGTGTACACACACACACAAACACACGAACTGTATCTGATGATGATGATGATGTTCTCCTAGCCGATTCCGGCCACGGCGGCCAATCTCATTGAGATTAGCCAACTGCGCAGGAGATATTATAGTGCACAAGTGTACGCGCAGACACAACGTGCACTCTCTATTCCTATCACTCTCATACTCCGGTGGGACGACTGCTCGACACGACCAGTGAGAGTGTCGGCGCAGGACCGACGGCTTTACGTGCTCTCCGAGGCACGGGGGTGACACACCGCCAACTTCCCAACTCCGGGCTGTTACTGAGACTTTCTATACAGAAAGACTCAATAACTAAACTTGGCCCGACCCGGGACTCGAACCCAAGACCTCCGGGTGTGCAGTCGTACATGCTAGCCACTACACCAACGAGGCAGTTATTACGAACTGTATCTACTATACGTATAATAAAATAGTAACAAAGCGAGAGTTAGGTTATCAGGACGGTGGGTTGTAATAAAACAACGTTCCTCGTCGAAAGGGTAGTTACAACTAACTTTATTTCTTACTAGCATTGCCCGCGGCTCCGCCCGCGTTCAGTTGACCGCTATGACCGTATGTAATGACGCGCTCGGTGGCGTGAGAGATGCACCCGTTGTTTATAAAATTCTAGAGGGTACGTGCGAAGGCGCTGGCGCCGTCATATGCATATTTTTCAAAACAATGATTGTAACGCATTGTGCACAGAATATACGGAATATGCAAAAAAAATACAAACCAACAGTTGTTAAAACTTTTGTCTGTTTGTCCATATATCTGTTTGCTTTATGCACTGCAAAAAATTGTACACCGTTTATACGTTTAACGGAATACTCACCGGACTTGTCAAGCAAATCGAATGAATTTTAACGTATTCGGTTTGCAGTAGCGCATAGTTTAGCTCTGTCTCAACGTGTGAGAACTGCGTATATTCATTTTTACACGAATGAAAATCTACCGTGTGAACACCCGCCTGATTGTACGTTTAAAAACGAATACAAAAAAAAATCGTGCAGAACAATACCGTGTGAACCCAGTTTTAGTCGCTAGTTTTGTATATAAAACGAGTTTTTTTTTTCTAGTTTAATATCAGGCAGATGTCGTGTAATGTTTGACATGACGAAGATTCAACCCAAAGAAAATGTTCCCGCACCGAACATTGCTACAAACAAGATTGTGACGGACATACAGATCCAGATCACCAATATTGAGGATCGTTGCTACGCCGATTTGATTGAAGCTTGCAAGTAATTATCTATCAATGTGTAGTGATCCTACTTGCTGTGCCAGCGGTCGCGGGTTCGAGTCCCGCTGAGGGCATTCATTTGTGTAATTGGCATGAATGTGTGTACTCTAGTCATGGCTGTTTATATTTAAACTTATATATGTGTAGTGTATCAACTATCTGGTATCCATAACACAAGCCCCGTAGCTTACCATGGAACTAGATGGTGCTGATTTATTTATTTCCTATCATATTCAATAGCCATGTGTATTCCAGATTATAATCTATCTCTGTGCCAAATTTCACCCAAATCCGTTCAGCCGTTCTGGCGTGAAAGAGTAACAAACATCCCTATATCCATACTTACAAACTTTCACATTTATAATGTTAGTATAGATGTAAAAAAAGGCAGTGGTAGCCCAGTGGTAACGCGCTCGCTTGGGAAACCGAGTGAAGCGAGTTCAAATCCCGGGTCTCATACCTCTGATATTTTCACGTTGGAATCTTTTCTAACATGATTACCACATGCCTTACGGTGAAGGAAAACATCGTGAGGAAACCTGCGTGTCTGAGAGAACCTAGCAAGTTTTCGAAAGACATGTGAAGTCCGCCAATCCGCACTTGGCCAGCGTGGTAGACTATGGCCTGATCCCCCTCGTACTGAAGGGAGGCCCGTGCCCAGCAGTGGGACGTTAAAAAAGGGCTGAATATATATATAGATGTATACGAAATTATACTTGCGGTACTTATAAGAAATAAACAATTTTTAAATTTTTTGTCTGTCTGTCTGTTTGTTCCGGCTAACTTCGAAAAGGACTAGACCGGTTTTCACGAAACTTTCACTACCAGATAGCTGATTATAAAGACTAACTTAACTTAATTAGGGTTCCGCGGAATATGTTCAAATCATAACATAATAATATGTAACAGGCAAATGGCATCAGAGCGGGGCGCGTCTGTGTCCGCGCTGTTCCCGCAGATGGCGCTGCGCGCGATGGCGACGCGGCTGCCCGAGGCGGAGGCGGACATGCTCGCGCTGCCGCACGTCACGCGCGCCAACTACGACAAGTACGCGCACCGCCTGCTGCCAATCACCGCCGCGTACGCCATCGAGAAGCTGGGTGAGGGCTCGTGATCATACTCTCTCCCTCTACCACCCCCCTCACTAGCCTTTTTCTCTCCCCCTTGCTACCTCTCCCTCTCCCCCTCGCTACACTTTCCTCTCCCCGCCTCTACCACCCACCCACTCCCCGATACCCTCTCCACCTCTGTACTCTCTCCCCCATCTATCTCATTTTTCTCCCCCCTCTACCTCCTTTCTCTTCGCAGCTCTCTACTCTCTATCTCCCTCGCTCTCCTCGCTCACCACCCCCTCCTCCCCCTCCATATTATTTATATATTGTTATTATAATGTAAATATATTTTTTTTATTTTTTGATTTGAATAACTAACTTAATACAATTATTATTATTCACGAACAGGTGTACAAATGATGCATCAAGACGAACTGGAGAAGCAAAATGCAGATGAGAGTGTATTCGAAGACGAGCCCAGTACAAGTGGTAGTGCGGGCAGAGGCAGAGGCTATAAGAGGTACTGGCGGGCGCCATCGCGTTCTAAAAGCCGTGGTGCCTCTCGGGGTGTGGCGAAGAGGTAAATGTTTTAATATATGGGGAGTTTCACGTGAAGCGGACAATGAAAAAATGTTAAAATTCTGAGATTCGTTCGTACTAGGCATTTTTGTACCTCGACTGCCTCGGTGGTGTAGTGGCTAACATGTACGGCTGCACACCCGGAGGTCTTGAGCTTGAGTCCCGGGTCTGGCCATGTTTTGTTATTGAGTCTTTCTGTATAGTAAGCCCCAGTAACAGCCCGGAGTTGGGAAGTTTGCGGTGTTTCGCCCCCGTGCCTCGGAGAGCATGTAAAGCCGTCGGTCCTGCGCCTTAACTCTCACTGGTCGTGTCGAATGGTTTTCCCACCGGAGTATGAGAGTGACAGGAACAGAGAGTGCACGTTGTGTCTGCGCATACACTTGTGCACTATAATATCTCCTGCGCAGTTGGCTAGTCTCAATGAGATTGGCCGTCGTGGGCGGAATCCGTCAGGAGAACATCATTTGTACCTCTATGGGATATGCACATGTATGGCGTTATATGTATGCTCAGAAAATTGTCAATACATGGCGTTATATTTATGGTCGAGCCCTTAAGTCTGAGTGGGTGGGATCAAATTAATTCCTACTCTTTTTTTGTCAAGAAAATTCCATTGCGCATAGTTTGTTTATTGAAGATAATCTCAGAAATTACTGTACCAATATTGGTACGTTTTCAGTAATAAGAAAAGGGATTATCTAAGAAGGGCTATCATTTATATACAATAAATATATTACGGAAAGTTCGTCCTTCCTGAGAACTGACCTAATATTTAAAATTAATAATTTATCATTTGTTTTAGTGCAACTAAAAAGTCAGCGCCGGTACGAAGCAAGATGGTGGCGAGAGCGCGTGCCAGCGGCGTCGGCAGAGGTGAGGCTCGGTGGACGTCACGACATGTGACGTGACGGTGACGTGACGTGATATTGACGTGAAGTGAAAGTGACGTGACAGTGACATTGACGTGACGTGACTGAACAATTAGAAAAAAATTAGAAAGAAGCTTCTAACACCACACTTTTTGATAAAATATTTTTACCTGATTTAAAATATATATAGAATGTGGAAATATTATTGGGTCTATACATAGGTAATATACATATCATATTTATATGACATAACAAAAAAGGCCGTGGTAGTCAAGTGACGCGTTCGCTCGGGAAACCGAGTGAAGCGGGTTCAAATCCCGGGTCTCGCATATCTGATATTTTCATATGCGAATCATTTCTTACATGATTACCACTTGTCTTACATTGAAGAAAAACATCGTGAGGAAACCTACATATCTGGGAGAACCTAGCAAGTTTTCGAAAAACATGCTCAGTCTGCCCGCACTTGGCCAGCGTGGTGGACTATGGCTTGATCCCACTCGTATTGAAGGGAGGCCCACGCCCAGCGGTGGGACGTTAAAAAGGGCTGAATAAAAGACAATAAAAACTAAGTTAAATTAACAATAATACTTTCTTAGATTTACGCGAATGCTCGATATTTAGTAGTAGTTAGTAGGGTACTACCATCGTCATGGGATCCTGTTATTAATATAATAAAATCTAATAATAAATATAAACATAATAGACAGGTAGAAGTAGTAAGTTCATACTGTGTAGATCAAAATGATAGCATTTCTGATTAATAATATTTTTCACTTTTTCATTTGTAAATGTATGTAGTAGTGTTGCTTAATATTTGGTTTTTAAATAATAGCAAATTTAAATTAAAATTATTATTTTTAATTAATCTTAACTTTTTCAAATTACACATAGATCAATTGTGGCTTAAATAATTAATATATTATGATTTTTTCTTTATGGTTATAAATATAATAATGGCAACACTAAAAATGTAGATTAATAATTAATATTTTTTTAAATTGTAATAATTATATTAATAACAGCTCAAATTAAATAAATAATATTCTATATTCAACTATAAAGCTAATTAAAATTATATAAAAATGTTTAAAGTTAAAAGTTAAAATATTGTAAGGTACTTTAGTGCCATTTTTCAATTTTTTGAATTCATTTTGTTAATTGTGGGTAGGCTGTCTGTAACAACTATATAATACCTTAGAGACATCTAACACCTCAGTCTCTCCCGTGACCATGATTGCTGTAAAGCATTCGAAACGTCGGGAACCAAAAATCAAAATAAATTCCCGAAAAAATCCGAAAAAATAGTTTTATTTAAATTAACAATAATCTAATGTAAAATATATTATATCTTTTCCAGGCGTTTCTTTGGGAGCGATGCCACTCCCCCGCACTACAAAGGCTCCACATAACGTGAACAAGCTGTTTTGATGGACATGTTATATATAACAAACAAAATACTATGACGTTTGATATATAATTTCACTTATGAGTGAGGTGTGAGGGAGTGTGTGAGGCATAAACTATGGGATTTTTTTACGATGTTCCGATGTCGCGAGTTGAGTCCTCTTTGTGCCTTGCACTTGATTATAATATTAGCATTTTTTTTATGTATAACATAGTTTATGTTCGAAGATCACTAATAAAGTACAAGATACACAATCCCATGCAAAAGTTCTCTTAAAACTGTCACTAATTGTGTTTAGGTAATTCTAGATGAAATATATATACAATAATGTAAATTCAACCTTAAATGCAATCCTTAAAGTTGTTTTCACAAAGTTATGTACAAAAGCAATAAATTTTTATGACCGATTTCGCTGGTCTTTATAGGTGACGACATTTTTTGTCGCTGATTGTGTATCTAGTTATTTTTTAGTGGTCGATATTTGTGTCATATTTTTTTGTGTAATATTGAATTTTGATTATTTGACTTATTTAAGTCTAGATGAATTCGAATTAAATAATTTGTGTAAGACAAGTATACGATATATGCACGCGTTTTGTTAATTGCCTACACGTCGCCTTACTGCTTATTTGTTCAAACCACTAATACTTGTACTTTACAGTAGAGTTTTTTTCTGTTTTTTTTTTTAAAAAAACCAAAGCTTAATTTCCAATATTGATATACATATACAGGTATAGGGATCGTGTGTCTATACTTTTACATTAACGAGTGACAAACACTTGAATCTATTGGGATCATTTTTCAATAATGGCAAAATCAAGAAAAAACACTAACGTTTCGATTTTTGCTAAGCTGAAAATTAACATTTTTTATAATTTTCCCCTAGTTTTTTTAAAGTAAATTTTATATTTTTTAAGTAATTTTTTAATAGATAACATAATTTTCGCATCATAAACATTTGCCACGCTCGTTTGTGGTACTACTTTTACGGTTTAGACAGTTTCACATTTGGTTTTTTCTTTTACACCATAAACATGATTGGACTTGAATAATTTTGTACCTGTCTCACTATTCTGACTGTGTACAATATTATTGATAACTTGTTGAATTATATATATATTTTATTATTTTTTCATTTTCATAAATATTCTGTGTTTACAAATGAATGTTTTGATCCCACTATCTTCAGGAATAAAACACTAAGAGGACAATAGTGCTGCCTCTACATTTCGCGTGCGGTCCCCATAGATAAAATACTTTTTTTTTTGTTTTTTTTAAAGTGAAATGTGTATTTTATACCAATTTAAAATGTCAATAATTCTATTTTAAAACCTCTTTCGGTTTTGTCGCTAGGACAAATAAGCACTAAGGCGATGTACCATTTAATTCTATGCTCGCTAAAACGCGGAAGTCGCAGGTTCGATGTCGGTTAAAACATATACATCATTTTCAACTAGACGTATACAACTTATTTGTCGAATTTTATTTGGCTACTGATCTACCTCAAAGAGCACTTAGGAATGCATTTAGAAGTGTAGGAGAAGGAGGAAGTTTTTAATAATATTGTAAATAAATAAAAGTTTTATACAAGAACTGGTCGCTTACCTTCGCTTCGCTCGCTCGCTTCCTAAAAGCGTTTCAAACAAAATAATTAAATAATAATAAAAATATATTTTTTCTTTCTTTTTTTATTTTGTGTTTTTCTTATAAGTACCGTATATACTTTCATATGCATTAAGTAAAAAGCTCTTATTTAGACATTACAAACAGACACGTCATTTTTTTATTTATTTGTATAGATATAATACCTGTAGATTATTTATGCAAAATTATAGCCTTCCAATAAAATCTAATTTTATTAGAGAACATCAAATAAAAATCAGTACAGTAGTTTTTGAGATTAGCCCGAACAAACTAACTCTCGTTTAATTTATAATATGTAGTGATACGAGTGACATAAATGTCTATTGTCGGGACTTCCCCTATATCGGACTCTGTGTATTATTTTTAAGGTTTATTCAATGTTTAATTTAAAATATTTGACCCACCACGTTTTTATTATATGTACGCACAGACAAACTTTCGTATATATAGTGATTTTCTAAATTATTTTTTTAGTTAATTTCATGTTATATGCCAAATATTACTTAGGCGATAATCTGATTAATTAATTATAATTATTGTATATTATTAAGTTGAAGTAAATAAATATTTATTTTTTCTAAATACTGTTTTTTTTTAATTCTCTATACCTATCTTCAGATCACGCTTTACTATATCTCGCGTGTTTTACAGTGCTGTGTTCTTTGCTAAGCTGTTGCTTAAAAGTGGAAAAATGTACATATCAATACATTAATTGGCAAACCAGCCAACTCCATATGAGCAAATTTTTCAGGAGACATTTAAAACTTTACAATATTTTTGGTATAGTTATTAAAAAAATCTAAAACACCGTTAGTAGATCGTAAGCTGTTATTTTTGATACTGTAAAATCCTACTAAAATAATCCTACTGAATTAATCTTGCATACAATCTAAACCAAAACGTATTTTTTGACGAAATGTAGCGTTGGCTGGTTTGCCAATTAAGGTATCGATACGAGTCACCCTCACCACGAGTGTCGAAGTATCGTCCCATCGTACCACGAAAGTAAAATAGAATAAAGAGTGCACGTTGTGTTTGCACCACAATATCTCCTGCACAGATGGTTACTTGTTGTGTCAGCCGTCGCGGGTTTGAGTCCCACTGGGGGCAACCATTTATGTGATGAGCATGAATGTTTGTACCCTAGTCATGGGTGTTTATATTTATAATATGTATGTATTTAAAGTTATATGTGTGTAGTGTTTCAACTATCTGGTATCCATAACACAAGCCTCTTAAGCTTATCATGGAACTAGATGGTGCTGTGTTAATGTTCCAACATATTTAGTAGACTGTAATAATTGGTTTACTAATTTTATTTATTTGTCTATTATCAAAGAAGATCAAATTTTTGACTAACAATGAAAAGACTCCAGTTATTTTTGGAAAATATTTATTTTATTTATAAATAATAATTTGTAAAACAATTTGAGTTACCTATAACTATGGCTAATTCATAAATAAAATTAATAAATGCTGTAAAATAAACTATTTACAATATATTAATATTTAAATTAGAATTGGACGGAAGCTATTACATTTATTGTATAAAGAGAAAAAGAAAAATTACATAAATTCGGCAGTTTTTTTTAAATAGCTATTAATTAATCTTATGTTCTAAATTATCTAATACTCAAAATAAATACTTTTTTTTACAAAAATATAAAAAAAATATATCGTCACTTTTCCTGACAAACGCTTTTGCGTTATTTAAAAAAAATACATCAAAAATGTTATATATTTTTAATATTCTGTAATGTCTATCTCTATGTTTAAAACAGATTTTCTCTGTACGGGTCAATTTATTATAACCCATAGCAAATAGGTGTATGGCCAATACATTTATGATTCATAGCTACCATATAGCTTGCAAGGAACAAAATTATAACCCAATATATCACTTTGCACTTTGCAAATATATGAGAAAAAAATATTTCTATATTTAAATTATTTCAATATTGAGTTACAATGTTGTTCTTTGCGTGTGCCGAACATATGTGGTAGTGATTATTACCGTATTGAGCTGTTAAACTGTTATTTTTATACTCTAAAATGGCGTCGAATAATTGTAAAAATCGCATAGCTATCGTATACTGATTTCCACTCAGTATAATTGAATAAAAATTTTAATTGTCCGTTAAGTTGTTTTCTTTGCTTAAGTCGTCCGAAGTTAAAATGTTATGTTTTCTCAACAAACATTTACAATTCCTTAATTTTGATTATTAATTACTGAGCAAATTATTTTTGATTTAGTTTAGTGTATATTTAACATTATGTTCTTTTACTGATAATAGTATGTTTTATAAAAAAAAATACAGAATTAAACTGATAACCATTACATCACTAGTATTAATAAAATAAGTACACATTTTTCACAAATATTTTTTTCTTCTATTCATTTATTCAAAAAACTACAGAACTCTTCACTCGACTTTAAAAACAAAATTTTCAAATCGTCTTAATATTCGTCTTTTCTATTAATTATAAGATTATAATTATTCTATTTTAAAAATCGGTTAAATTTTCGCTATAAAGCCCTTAAAACTCCACAAAATAACATTAAAATGATATGTTTCATTGTAATTCTTTAAATTTTCTTTAGAACTGTAGTATTTGATTTATCCAGTCCCTAAACTCTGATATGCGAGTGTATACGCCGGGCTGGTTAGGCTTCGCACAGCCGATGCCCCACGAGATGATGCCGCTTAGAACAAACCGATTGTCTCTGTCCCTTTGTACTACCATTGGATCTCCGCGATCACCTGAGATAGGGAAATAGGTAAAAATTTAGGTATTGCTAATTCTTAAAGATGAAAGTAAACTTAATTTAATTTTTATTTTATATTTTATTACTATAAACTCACACTCGCTTTGCTTGCATTTGTCCTTAGGTGATTCTTTAAATTGACATCACTATTTTTTATGAACCGATTGGAATGAAACAAATACTAAATGTTAAGTAAAGCTACATTAGTGAAAACCGCACCCAAATCGGTTAAGCCGTTTCTGAGATTCACAGACAAACAGAGAAGAGTTCTAAAAATCATTGTTTTGGGTTCTATTGCTTTTTTTTCTCTAGTATCTTCCATGTAAAGACAGCGATCAGATACAATTTTATTATATATATAGATTTTTATTCTTTACTATCGACTTACACGCGTCTCTAGTTGCTTAGCTGTTACCTATGTGTTAATCTTGTACAAGTTACAGTCTATCTATGACTCGCTATTAAGACTATTTAAGGTTACTGCCAATAAATAATAACATGGACACTTTTGCCGCCTTTAGCCGTCTTCTTCGGTCAGTCAAAGTAAGTCCTGCTTTCGAGAATATGCGCTCACAGGGTACGGAAGTTGCGACAATATTGTCTTTTTAAAATGTATTGATATAACAGGGGGTAGACCGACTTTCGGGTGTGCCACCAAAGTAGAGGATCCTCCAACCTGTGTAAAATGGACTCCTGGATATATTTATCTACCTCAACTATACCGGCTGCAGTGCTATTCTCTGGAAAATGCTCGCAACTTCGTCAAAATCGCTCCAAATTGAAGGTTCCTTATTAGTCGATGATGATGGTATGGGCTCCGTCTTAATTGGCGTAGACTCAGGCGCGTGAATGCGCATAGCTCCGACCCTTGAAGACCGAGCTGCCCTTGAACCTAGGGTCCAGTATAGTGCATTCAGCATAGAGCGTATTGCTTTCGACTGAATTAAATCGCCGGTGTAATTGCTCATTTAACGTTCGCAACATCGTGTATATCTTGCTATTATCTTGTGCAGCTTCAGCTTGTGATAAGCGGTACGTTATTTGCCTCTTTAGCAACCGGCAATAAACTATGACTTTGGAAAGACTAACAGATTTTTCAGTTGATACCTCCACTGTAACTTCGTAAAATATTTTTAAAATTGGTAATGCTTTTTCAATTAGTGTCCAGTCTTCGAGAGATAGAGCTAAGTCAGCTCTAACTAATGCCAATGTAGCTATTAGGGCCTCTTTTATTTTTACTACGCGGTCCAACATATCATAAGTGGAGTTCCACCTTGTGCTCACGTCTTGTTTTAATTTTAACTCTCTCATATTCATTTGTTTTTGAACGGATTTTAATTTGTTTAGTCCAGTCGTGCTCCTTTGGAAATATTCTACGATGCGTTGACCTTGTTTACCGTATCGGAAATTGTCTCAATACTAGCTTGTACTATTATGTTTAATGTATGAGCGAAACAACTCAATGATCGCCATTCTCCCAAATGAACTGCTGCAAGTATATTCGCCCCGTTGTCGCTGACAATAACACCAACTTTATTCTCTATCTGCCACTGCCTCAGTTCGTCTTTTAAAAACTGGCAAAGATTAGCGGCCGTATGGCTCTCGTCATAATTTATACAGCCGAGTAAATTTGCTCACAACTGACCCGCTTCTGGGTCAATATAGTGTGCAGTGATGGCAATAAAACTCTCATTATTATAAGAGGTCCAGCTATCCGTAGTAATGCAGACGGCGGGACCCTTTGTAATTTCATTTTTTACTTGCTCCTTAAGCTGTAAGTATCGTTGTGGTAGCAGACTTTCAGATAGTGTCTTCCTAGTAGGCAAACTATAAGACGAGTTTAATAGTACTACGAATTTCTTGAATTCGGTATCATTAACAATATTCAGTGGATGGTACTCTTTAGCGATCATTGTAATCAATTGTTGGTCTATTTTTATTTTTTTAATGGGTGGTAGGGGTCTTTGAGTAAACCCGTCCATGCTGGGTTGTACTTGTCGTTTTTGTACTGCGCAGACAGATGACGAAGATGCCGCATTTGAATTAGATGGTATAGTATATTGAGGCTCGTGATTTTGCTCGTGCTCAATATTTGTGCGAGGAAGCCGAGGATGGACAGATTCAGCGCTAACATTATTGTCATTAATAGTTACTTGTCGTTCCACTGGTGCTATAAGTATTGTTGAATGTTTTCTTTTTAAATGTCTAGTCAAATTACCTAAGCTGCCAGTTGTAAAAGAAATCTTTTCTGAACAATAATTACATTTTCCTTTTTTTTATGATTCCTCTTCTATAAATAATGGTTCCAAAGAATGCTGGTATTTCTTCGGGACGCCATTTTTACACTTAAAAGTACTTAGGTATGTATGTACACAATTACTAACAATAAAACTATTTTACATATATATATATATATATATACAAAACTATGCTATTCACAAAAATATTTACGAGTGTTTAAACAAATATCTAAATAATATATTTTTTAAAAAGAAAGTACTAATCAAAAAACTATTATGGTGCTTTCGCGCGCAATGTTAATCTAGACGAACGCAACAAACTACAAAATTTTTGTGTCAAAAGTGAATAAAGAATATTAAAATTTAAAAATATTATTATTAATGTTTTAAAAGTTCAAAACGAAAATCAGATTCAATCACAGAAATCTTAATAATAAGGTAATAGAAATGCCATTGCGGTCTTTTAGTACTGGGACGCGTGTCGCCGGCTTGCAGCTACCAACACATTGACAATAATAAATACACACTATCGCCCACACATGCATTTTGCATTGTTGCAACAAAAATTAAACTTTAAGCGATGACATTACGCAATATTTTCTAAAAACGCATAATCTCAGATGGCGTGATCCCTGTGACCAATAATAAACGTGTGCGAAAAGCACAGAATGATATCGCGCGCTCACTTTTAGTGCAGTACAAAGCGCATAATGCTCATATCGATAATTTTCCGTTGAGTCTTGCAACAATAGGTAACTAATTTATTGAAAGTGTTTTGTTTCATTCCTCGACGCGCTTTTAGACGATTTATTTATTTTCATAAAGGGAATACAATAAAACGTTAAATGTAAGTAAATTTTTTTATTATTATATAGTTATACAAAAGTTATGCAAACTATTTGTTAAAATCCATATATATATATTCAATCAATGAATTATCGACTTTAACGCACAGTGAAGTAGGCACATTATTAATTGTAATAGCATAGTAAGAGATGACATTATATTGCGAATTACTCACACACGCACTAGTCACTACAGTGGTTTACACACAGTACCTACGCGATATAATGGCGCTTCCACCACAGAAATCTTAATAATAAGCTAATAGAAGTGGCATAGACGCGTGACCTTGTCGCCGCGCATGTGACTCGTAGGTCACAAGCGCGTGTAAAGCGTTTGTTGCGGTAACTAGTGTTATTTGAGACACGGAGAGGTAAACACGGTGTTTTGCAGCATATCCAACTGCGGAAATTCTTCCACAATTTGTAACTTTACAAATAAAGGGATAACATTTCATATGTAAGTACTTAATTTTTGAAATAATGTCGTTTTTAAGAAATATAGCCAAATCAAATGATTTCACCACCACTACTACGATTATCGCAGGAAAACGTTTTTTTTTCCATTCAATAACCATTACCACTTAAGCTTGTTCATGTATACTATTACAACTGCTAAAAGCAGCAATGAAATAATATTCATGCGTAAAGAACAATATTGTCGCGTACGTAAATTCCAAGGACACGCCGCACAAGTTAGCCGCGAATTAGTGACGTGCCACCACAATTTTTTATCGAAAATTTATTACGTTTGGCTTAATATTTTTCGTTAAATATTTAATTGTTACATCTCATTGTGTATGTTTTCTTTCTGTCTGAATAATTTATAAAAAGTCATTTATCAACGATTATCTGTAAATTCGTACTTTTAAACTACTTTTTCATTCAGAAAATTATTAGGAGGTAGGCTTATTATTGTTATGTATGTAGTACTAGTATTGTTAGTATGTACTGCTAAAAAGTATTGTTTTTGACAACAAGCTAATAGCAAATAAAAAGTTTAAAAGTGAATTTGTAACGAAGGCCATGCGTCATTTTGTTGGGATAAAAATATTTGAAGATATTGATTTTCATCAATATGACCAGTCTCCAATTGATAATCATGTCATTCAATTAGTGAAATGCGTTTTAGAAAAATATATAGATATTCGCCTTAATCACTTTGCCAAAAATGCTATCCAATTTATCCCAAAACGACAACTTTTAAATAAATTTTTACATTTTTCAGGGCAGTAACATTAATAACCTGGCTTTAAATACCAAAAAGACAAAATACATAAAGTAAATAGATCGTTTATGGGGCAAGGTGTACGCATATATAATAAAATTCCACAGTCCATATTGAACTTGCCTTTGAATCAATTTAGTTCTAAAATTAAAAATACATTATTGAATAAGGCTTATTACACCATTACTGAATATTTAGAAGATATAAATGCGTGGGATTAATGTCTTGCTGTGTCTCACGTAGGATAAATGGATAAATATTGTAATGCAATAAATATTGTAATCAAATATTTTTTGAAAAGAGCAACTGTTGAGTATCTCGCCGGCTCTTCTCAGCAGATCAGCATTCCGAGTCGGTGGTAACATACTCACAGACTTACAGACTGACATTTAATGTAAAGTTTAATCATGTAAACGATGACGATTCAAAAGAACTTGTAAAAGTCTATTTGAATAAAGAATATTTTGATTTGATTTTATTGAGTAAATAATTCTAAGGGCGAGTTGTTTGATAAACAACATAGAAATTCTATAAATTTTTTTAAGTCATTGTTCAAAATGTATGGATATATATATATATATATATATATATATATATATATGGATTTTAACAAATAGTTTGCATAACTTTTGTATAACTATATAATAATAAAAAAATTTACTTACATTTAACGTTTTATTGTATTCCCTTTATGAAAATAAATAAATCGTCTAAAAGCGCGTCGAGGAATGAAACAAAACACTTTCAATAAATTAGTTACCTATTGTTGCAAGACTCAACGGAAAATTATCGATATGAGCATTATGCGCTTTGTACTGCACTAAAAGTGAGCGCGCGATATCATTCTGTGCTTTTCGCACACGTTTATTATTGGTCACAGGGATCACGCCATCTGAGATTATGCGTTTTTAGAAAATATTGCGTAATGTCATCGCTTAAAGTTTAATTTTTGTTGCAACAATGCAAAATGCATGTGTGGGCGATAGTGTGTATTTATTGTTGTCAATGTGTTGGTAGCTGCAAGCCGGCGACACGCGTCCCAGTACTAAAAGACCGCAATGGCATTTCTATTACCTTATTATTAAGATTTCTGTGGCTTCCACACAGCAGTGCAGCAGATAACATCACATACCTAACATTTTTTAACACGAAATCATTTTAAACCCACGAAAAAAAAGGAGGTTCTCAATTCGACACGTATAAATATATTTTTTTATTGTTTGACCTCTTCTTACTTTGGTACTAGGTACCTACTATATCTACACTAAAAATGGAAAATAAAAACTAAAAAAAAACTACTTCAAATAAATAAAAATATTGTAAATGATTGTTTAACTGATGAATTATTTTATTATATACATTGATCTTAATTTTTAATTATTTATTGTTATTATTTTTATTAATTATAAATTCTAATTCATATTAGGTATTGTAAAAATTAAGAAAAAAGTTTAAATTAATTAAAATTCTTTAGTAGACATACCTAGTTCCGGGAACTATTTCAATCCGGACCTACGCATGTCTAGTGTTTAGCTCTAGTTCATGTTTATTCGTTACGTAGGTAAGACCGTTGACTCCTATGATACGGCCTTGACACTTATTATGTAGTCCTGATAAAGCTGAATTTATATTGTGAACATGTTGTTTACTTCTGAGGTATAGTTATTGAGTAAGGTACACATGACGTGTATAGTATACAGCTTTCTAAGTTTAGAATCAAAATGTTGAACAGAGCTCTTCTGTATGGCAACAGGTGAAGATCAAATTCTCTATTTATGAGGGTGATTAATCAAACGTTAATATAGCTCGCGGAAAAAGTTGTTTTAATTTTGCTAGGAAATATTGTTATTATTTAAACCGCAATCGGTTTTAAACGCGCTATCAACAAAATTGGTAAATAACCAAGTTTTTTTTGTGGCTCATAACAACAATGGTATAGGTATTGGAATTCACCAATCCGATAAGCGTTTCAAAAACAGGAAAACAGTGGTCAGTTCCCCGCTAATGAAAGTCATCGCAACAAAGGCTATAGATGAATCGTTGTTGCTCGTGAATAAGGTTTGAAACACTAATGGATGTTTGCAATAAAATAAACACAGCTGATAAATAAAACAAAAAATTTATTTACAATTTTCTAAAATTGATAATACTTGTAGTTGCCTCTCAATACTTTTGTAATACTTTAACAACAGTCTTGAAAATTATAATAAATACCCGTAAACATACCAAAAATTTAACTAATACACTATCATAAAACTGTTAGATAATAAATTCTGCTATGATAAATAATACAGGTAGACAATACTTATTTAAATTTTAACAATAGTAGGACAGAAACACTTTTCACTAAAAATAATAGCTTACTATGACATTTGTACTAATGAATGCAATAAGTTACTGGGATGAAAGATCCATGGAAGTGATTGAATGAATGAATAAATAAATAGCAAGGTTCTTAGCCTCAGCACATAAGATAACTCGATTTAGGATCAAGTACCTGGGCGACCGAGCCTTGCTCGGAGTGTTTGGCCAAAAAAAAACATTAAAAAAAAACAAACTAAGATATTTGAATAACTACAAAAAAAAACAAAATTAAATCTTTGTGTCCGACTGGGATACGAACCCAGACACCTATGCTTCTCAAATTTGCGCATTGGCTGCTTGACCATGATGTTTATATCTGAGCATGCGCAATTATCGAACATAATATTTTGCGTGGAATTATTAATTATTAATTTATTGAAATAATGCAAAAGGAATCATAATAATAATAAAGCTCTATTTATTTATTCATTTATTTATTATAAAGGCTTACTAGCTAAATTTACATAAAAACATTTATTTAACATTATAATTTTACCTATCTGTAAATTTAATTTAAAAGTATGCACAGCTTTTTATAAAAGTATTCCATTAAAATTTTATTTGGTTAAGAGTATAAGGAGCCATTTTAGTTGTACAATAAAAAAATGCCTATATCACATTGCTGAAATATAAAATTATATAATTTAGTGACTATTTATTAACTTATAATTTTTTAACTAATAATTTTGTAATCTGGAATTAAATTATTTTAAAAATCTTCATATTATTTGAAATGATATTGTATATATATAAATTATCATAAACAAATAAATAAATAAACAATCACAATAAATTAAATAATTCAATTGAGTAAATACTAAACATTTCACAATAATACATATAATTAAAATTTCTTTCCATACATTATTCTGACAATAGTTATAAATTAGGTATTTAATTTCATAATTAAATGTATTTATTTAGTAAATGTCTTTTTCATGTATAGACCCCTCTCGGTTAAAAGCCTCCTCCAAAGTAGACCTGCATAGAGCTCTCCGTTGGAGATTATGCTTGTATGATTGCAAAGGGTTTCTTTTCAAGTTTTGTTTCCAATATACTATAATTTGTTTCTGATATGCCTATAAAGTTTATAATTTTATCTTTGTGTTCTTTTGATTTGTTGTAGGAAATGCTGCTTTTAATTCTAGAAGTTTTTCTGGTGAAGATATGTATTACCTTTGTTCATTGTATGTCTGTTTTTCTTTGGAGGGTTACGGTCGAACTCCCCCACAGTGACTGGCCGTACTGGGGGATAAAAATGAGGAGGTTCCTACTGTGTTTAAAATACTGTATCTTGCTGTGTTGTTTTTAGTTCTTCCTGGTTATCATTTGTGTGGTTGAAAGTTAATTTTGGTTTTTGTAATATAAAGTCTTTAATATTAGCAGGTTTGGTTTTCTTTGTATGTTGTTTATTTAGTTTTCGATATTCAGATTATATATATATATATATATTTATATATATATATATATATATATATATATATATACAAGAATAGCTCGTTTAAATATATAAGATTATTAGTAATCATAATAGTTAACATTCAACCACCACACCATATTTCAACCGAATCTTTTTAATCTTACTGTGTAAAGTACTGAGGATAGGTTGTAAGTCAGTACTCCAACCACGTTGTAGTCCGTGTCCTAAAACGAAATTCAACAGTACCGTACACGCGTGATCATCTAATTCTGGCCTTGCATTAGATCGAACATTATCAGAAGCCTGCGCCCTCTCAGTGATTGATAAACAAACACTCAATGCTTTTCTGTTGAATACTGCTGGTAATAATCGTAGTGCTAATGATTTGCAATCTTTTGATACATGCTGACAGTATTTGAGGTCTCCGTAGCTGACGTAAACACCACTTTGAGGAATAAGTTCTACGAGTCCTGGCAGATTGTTTCGATACTTTAATGTCCATCTGGTATCACGAGGATCATATTCCGATGGTAGAACAAAACGCCATGAGTTGCGTTTTTTCTTCGGTGGTTTGTTAGCATCGTCATTACTATGTTGATCTTGAGTACTTGAACTAGTACTTGCTGTTACTTCAGTGTGTCTCTTTTTAGGAAACCGACGGACTTCTGGTTTCAAGTTAATCGAAAAAGATTTATTGCTGATTGAATTTTGCATTGAATTGAATTGTTCGACTGCACCCAGTAACTTTTTATATGTCTGGGCAGTGTCAAGGATCGAACTCCGTAAGGTGTTGTACATATCAGTAGTATAACGCAAAGTAGACCCCATTTGAGTGAAGAGGGTAGCGAAGTTGTCCAACATTTCCTGCTCCAATACAACTTTAGAATGCGTCTGGTGGTTCGTGGAGTTTTGTGCAGCTATCGGTCTGTCTGCACAGCTACTTCCAGAGGTGATTCCAGGGCCGTAAGAGTTATTCGTTCTTTCAATAGGTACTTCATCTGCAGACATCTCATGATCTGAGATTACTTCATGATCGGTACCAATATCGGAATCTGAATTTGCCCCATGATGCGCTGACGGAGTTTCTTCTTCCATCCACTCATCTGTTTGCAACGTATTGTCAATTTCGCTTAGATGATTTTCATTAACAAGTGCACGTTCACTATGATTTCGCATCAGATCGCTAGATGACTGAGCAGCGTCACCGAGTTTCATCCGTTTCCCATCAAGTTGTTTGTTCGGTACTGGTAGTGCTGGTCGCTTAATTAATATTCTTGGCAGTGGTTTCCGAGGATTATTATTTAATTTCGACGAATGGTTTCGGTTGGCAATACGCAATTTCTTGTTTAACGGGAACTTTGGTTCTGAATCTGGAAATGAAAAGATTGATTATTATTTGGAGGGCTTTAAATTTCAAATAAGTGGTATTTGAAAATAAATTTACAATGGAAATTAAATCGTTAAGACTAATAAAGTGATTTGATTCTCACCTGTTGTTTTTAATTCTTGTTCCACTAAAGGTCCATAATCATTTCTCGTCGCAATCCAATATTCTGCATCTCCGTAACTATCTGAAAAAATAAATAAAAAAATATTACTTTTTCCCAATTTCTGAGACGATCTAGGTTCAAATATACTTCGACAATACTACGCATAAACGAATTAACTAATATATTGATTTAAATTCACCTGATTCATATTTAACGATAGCCATATAAAAACTCCACTCGTCATTGTGTCTTTCCTTCCTTTTAACGCGATCTCTGGTGTTGAAAGGATCTTCGTCTTTAGGGTACGCAACAACGGCCTTCTGATCCGTCGCTTTTCGTACTATCAGCCAAGTTGACGGCACGCATACGTAGTCATCAATACCTTCAAAAGGCAATTCTATGAACTGAACGACACAAAACGCTCGCCTATAGTTATTATGACGTTTTATCTGAAACAAATGAAAATACTTTAGTAAATACAAAGTAAATCGATATCGTCAAAGCAACGCAGTAGCGTGATTCTATAAATAGCTATCACCCGGGCGGGCCCCATTCGTTCACAGACCTGCCGCGTGGAGTTTTCCATCGATTATTCAACGGTATCAGAATTTGCGTATTACTTCAAAAGAATTAATGCTAAAACATACCATTTTAATGCTTGTATCTATTTTATGTATGAATTCCAAATATTTCCACCAGTAACTCTTCTTCTTCGTAAATAGATAAACCAATTGCTTCTACTTTTTTTCCACTTAATCTTCGAATAGATAAGTTGTTACACGTCTAAAGCCAAAACTTGAATAGTGAATACCGTATCCGCCGGTTGCCGTATTTGACAGTGTACTGTTTCCTCGAAAGTGAAGAGTGGGGGAAGTCTACGTTGCGTGTTATTGTTATGATACTATCACGGTCATTGACTCATTTGCTCTCATCGTTATACTTATCTTTGTAACGTGGGCGGTGCGTCACAGTATAAGTACAAACAGTTCGTGTAAAAAAATAGAATTAATTTTTTTAGGTATAAATGGCCTTCCCATGCTTGATAAGGGCATATACCAAGTCACACCAAGATACATAGGGACATATTAATTTTTGTAACGCGGGGTTTTTAGGAAAACAACGGTGATCGCGCGGTATCGTGTCGGAACATGTACGATCCTGTAGGGCGTGTTTTCGTGCGATCGTATAGTTTAGGCGCCCGCGCCCCCCCGTCTCCCGCGAACGCGTGAGCGACGGCGTGGCTCGACCAGTAGGCGAAGGACGAACTATACTCGGTTATTATATTAAAAGGATAAAGGTGAAACAAAATATGATATTAGACGGACAGAAAGAAAACTTGTTTATTATTATTAGCCATCAGGAGTAGGGATAGGGCGCTAGTTTTTACAAAGTTGTTTTCTATTCATTTCCAGCTATTTCGAAATACAATCATGTACGATAATCTTTATTTATTAACAAGAAGTAAAATATAGAAACACACCGACTTTTAATTAAAAGTGATACCTAATCAGTAACAGCCGTTTAATGATTTTCCATTATCAATGTAACTGACAAAATTCTTATCAGCGTTTTCAGTTTAATTTATACTTGTATTATAATAGATTATAGTTTGTATGTTTGAACGCAGACTTGAGTTGAGTTGTTTGAAGTTTCAAGAGATCCGATTGGAAAGTAAAAAGATCAGTTCGATTTGTTATTTTTTGTGTAATAGGGACGATTTTTAACTTTAATGAAACGGTTAAAGAAAATATCCATCCTTTGATTTTTTTTACTTGGTGTATTTATTTGCAGTCGCAATTATATATATATATATATATATATATATATATATATATATATATATATATATATATATATATATATATATATCTTTAAGGGGGTGAGAATGAGGATGAAAGCTTGTATAAGGAAGCAAGCTAGGGACGAACCGCTAGGGTGAGTCGCTAGTATTTTAAAGAAAGTAAACGATCGTCGCTAGTTATCATATCACAGAAATCTTAATAATAAGCTAATAGAAGTGGCATAGACGCGTGACCTTGTCGCCGCGCATGTGACTCGTAGGTCACAAGCGCGTGTAAAGCGTTTGTTGCGGTAACTAGTGTTATTTGAGACACGGAGAGGTAAACATGGTGTTTTGCAGCATATCCAACTGCGGAAATTCTTCCACAATTTGTAACTTTACAAATAAAGGGATAACATTTCATATGTAAGTACTTAATTTTTGAAATAATGTCGTTTTTAAGAAATATAGCCAAATCAAATGTTTTCACCACCACTACTACGATTATCGCAGGAAAACGGTTTTTTTTCAATTCAATAACCATTACCACTTAAGCTTGTTCATGTATACTATTACAACTGCTAAAAGCAGCAATGAAATAATATTCATGCGTAAAGAACAATATTGTCGCGTACGTAAATTCCAAGGACACGCCGCACAAGTTAGCCGCGAATTAGTGACGTGCCACCACAATTTTTTATCGAAAATTTATTACGTTTGGCTTAATATTTTTCGTTAAATATTTAATTGTTACATCTCATTGTGTATGTTTTCTTTCTGTCTGAATAATTTGTAAAAAGTCATTTATCAACGATTATCTGTAAATTCGTACTTTTAAACTACTTTTTCATTCAGAAAATTATTAGGAGGTAGGCTTATTATTGTTATGTATGTAGTACTAGTATTGTTAGTATGTACTGCTAAAAAGTATTGTTTTTGACAACAAGCTAATAGCAAATAAAAAGTTTAAAAGTGAATTTGTAACGAAGGCCATGCGTCATTTTGTTGGGATAAAAATATTTGAAGATATTGATTTTCATCAATATGACCAGTCTCCAATTGATAATCATGTCATTCAATTAGTGAAATGCGTTTTAGAAAAGTATATAGATATTCGCCTCAATCACTTTGCCAAAAATGCTATCCAATTTATCCCAAAACGACAACTTTTAAATAAATTTTTACATTTTTCAGGGCAGTAACATTAATAACCCGGCTTTAAATGCCAAAAAGACAAAATACATAAAGTAAATAGATCGTTTATGGGGCAAGGTGTACGCATATATAATAAAATTCCACAGTCCATATTGAGCTTGCCTTTGAATCAATTTAGTTCTAAAATTAAAAATACATTATTGAATAAGGCTTTTTACACCATTACTGTATATTTAGAAGATATAAATGCGTGGGATTAATGTCTTGCTGTGTCTCACGTAGGATAAATGGATAAATATTGTAATGCAATAAATATTGTAATCAAATATTTTTTGAAAAGAGCAACTGTTGAGTATCTCGCCGGCTCTTCTCAGCAGATCAGCATTCCGAGTCGGTGGTAACATACTCACAGACTTACAGACTGACATTTAATGTAAAGTTTAATCATGTAAAAATGACGATTCAAAAGAACTTGTAAAAGTCTATTTGAATAAAGAATATTTTGATTTGATTTGATTGAGTAAATAATTCTAAGGGCGAGTTGTTTGATAAACAACATAGAAATTCTATACATTTTTTTAAGTCATTGTTCAAAATGTATGGATATATATATATATGGATTTTAACAAATAGTTTGCATAACTTTTGTATAACTATATAATAATAAAAAAATTTACTTACATTTAACGTTTTATTGTATTCCCTTTATGAAAATAAATAAATCGTCTAAAAGCGCGTCGAGGAATGAAACAAAACACTTTCAATAAATTAGTTACCTATTGTTGCAAGACTCAACGGAAAATTATCGATATGAGCATTATGCGCTTTGTACTGCACTAAAAGTGAGCGCGCGATATCATTCTGTGCTTTTCGCACACGTTTATTATTGGTCACAGGGATCACGCCATCTGAGATTATGCGTTTTGAGAAAATATTGCGTAATGTCATCGCTTAAAGTTTAATTTTAGTTGCAACAATGCAAAATGCATGTGTGGGCGATAGTGTGTATTTATTGTTGTCAATGTGTTGGTAGCTGCAAGCCGGCGACACGCGTCCCAGTACTAAAAGACCGCAATGGCATTTCTATTACCTTATTATTAAGATTTCTGTGTATCATATAGATATAGTTATGTGTAGATTTTTTATTGTTGATCAAATTGATTATCATGTTTTTCATTTACTTCTGAGTAACTGATATTTCGGCATTATACAAGCGCCGTGTTCGTGTACGGAAATCATAACAGGAAGTGGAAAAACATGGTAAAACATATCTATCTCATTTTACATCGACAAGACAAGACAAGACAAGTTAATCAAATTAGGAAAGATAATCCAGGTAATAAAAAAAATAACCTTTGTTACAAAAGGAAAAGTTTAATTATTTCATAAAGTTTTAAATGACTTTAAAGCTTTATGCATCATTAGTACTCTATTTTACTAGATTAGTATCAAGTTCTCGATTGTAAGCTTTTATACTACATTTTATTCTTATTTACGCCATCTATTGAATTCAACTCGAACCAGCATTTATTTACACGTCTTTTATCGTGTAAAGGAACTATTGAATTAGTTATACACGGTATTCATAGATGTCACTATATATTACTTTTAAAAATAATAATAATGGGATATTTTCCTTACATAAAGAATAATTTTACTTAAAAACCCTATTTTATCTCTGTTATTTATTGCAATTGAAATAAGTTATTGATGTAAGTATAGATCATAATCGTGGAACGTAGGTTGTAAAGGGTACGTCGGTCTATGAACTCTGCCTTTACACGAGAGGTCGAAGGTTGAAAACTAGTGCGGTATATTATCTATACTTATAATAAATCTGTAGAGAGGTCAATTCTGTACATGAAACATATTTCCAAAATAACTATCAGGGGGTGATTACGGATCGATACTGATGCCAAAAATGCAGTCAGTAAAATTTTTGTCTGTCTGTCTGTATAACCGTTATAGAAAGAAAAACTACTCGACGGATTTTAACGAAACTTGGTACAATTATTTTTCATACTCCTGAGCTGGTTAAAGTATACTTTTCATCAAGCTACAATCAATAGGAGCAGAGCAGTGAAGGGAAATGTTGGGAAAACGGGAGAATAATATAAAAATAAATAAGAACATAAATAAAAATATATAAATAAATAAGAATTGTACTTAACTTCAAATTCTTATTTCAAAGACGACTTAGACATTGATAGAGAAAGATTAAACGTGCTTGCAAGAAAATTCTCCAAATGCACCAGTAACGTCAAAAATACATTTTTTGGCAAAGTTTTTACAGCTGTTAGTTCTGAGTAAATTAAATGCTGCTTTATTTTGAATGTGATAAGAAAAAAAGCTAAAATAGTATATTCCAGACTACATTTTGTGATGTTAATAGTAATATTATTTTTTGTCTTAGACTCGGTGTTCACAGAAATGCAAAGTGTAAGTGAATACTGTTTTAGTTACTTTAAAATTATGAGTAAATTCGCTCGCGCTAAAACTACAAAAAACTCAAAAATGGTAGGTTTCATCTTAGAGTACAGCATATGTATAGTCTAAGGGTTTCATACAAACTTTCATCCGCTATTTTACCCCCTTATGGGATGAATTTCGATAAATGCTAAAACACGTATGTAATTAAAAGTATTGAAGAGCATTAATACCAAATTTCAAGTAATTCTGATCAAAAATATTTTTTTTTAGATTGTATTATAACGT